ATTATATTTTTTCCATTTCTTTTTTCTACTTTCATTTTTTCCCCGAGGGGTACTAGAGAGCTAAGCACATGTTTCTTTAACACTTAAAGAACAATGCTCTCTATTAAGAACTTCTTCCAACACTACCTTTCCATTCCTAGCAAGAACCGTGCAAAATACACCTATGTAGAATCTCAATAGAGCTCAAAAGAGAGAACTCCAAGTCACAAGGATGACTGACAACGATTTAGACACGAAAAAATGAAAAGGGTCGTTCTATCAATCACCATTAAGCTCAAAAAACAACAAGCTCCTAACATGAGAACGACTCCATAGTCACACTGCTCAAAGGGGTTGACTAGGGGATAAAATGTTTCGGAATAATCAACTTTTGGGCGTGGACTAATCATATGCCTCCATCATACTCACTAATGACAACGGGAATGTTACTCACCATGGTAAGAGGGATCTATCACACATGAAAAAGATTATCAGCACAAATCTCACACGACTACCTAATCACCCAATCATCTATTCCAATTTCACAAATTTTGATGCATATCAATTGTAATCAAAGAGTAATCAAGTCAAGACATCCATTCATTTGCACACACATGAGAACTAACACACTTGCACCAACCTAATACAATTCTCCATCATCATAATAGGATGCACTTGATCACAAGCAATCAATTCAAGGTCAATGCTAATAAACACGAGATTCTCCCACAAACCCGGCACTTCGATCAAGCATTCACTCACAAAATCACATGCCAATCATAATGGATACCCCCCCCCCCCTCACTTAAGCACGACAATGTCCTCAATGGAGAAAAGGGGTAGGGTGAAGAAGTTACCAAATTATTGGCAAGTGAAAAGTTGGACAAGTTCCAGGGTAGGAGATTTGAGCTTCAAAGAGAAGAAGTAAACACACAAAACACACATATATTTTCGCTCAAGGCGAGGTTATTACACATAACAATATTCAACATCACGATTAAAGGAAAGAAAAACTCACGATAGTACTTGTTCACACACTAAAGAAAAGAAAAATAACAAAGTTCAGAGTTCAGGTGGATAAGTGGGGCGAAAGAAATCGGCTCTGACACATGGTCTCACTCGGTCGACTACCTCGCTCGAGTCGGAGATGATCACTCATCGTTGTCAGACAAGACACCTTATTGTTGAGCCATCCGCTCTAGAAGAGTGTTGGATCTATTCAATCGTGTAGAGACCCCCGTGAACGACTCAAAGCGAGTGACTCGGTCCTCGAGGCGAACTGCGGATGTGGAAGGACCGGCTTCAGATGATGGTGGTGGTGCAGGGTGGCGACGGCGGTGCTAGCGTGGCTGAGCAGGTGAAACCTTTGCTGGATCACGCTCCACCGGTGCATGCTCTACATGTGACTGAGTGTAGCCGAAGGCCGGAGTCCCTCATGGTACTCAACTTCTCGCTCGTCCCAGACCAGCTTCAAGTTATGCAAGGTCTCGACTGGGAGAGAATCCGTCCGGCCAATGATGAGGCATCCCGTGGTGTCGACCCCAAAATATCGAGCAATCCTCATGATGATGCCCCCCAAGTGCATCGTGTCCACTCGGTCTCGACCCAACACTCTTGAGAAGGTGGTAGCAATCACTGATCCAGATGAAGTGGTGTTGTGGGTCGGCTCAAGGTATGGAGGGAAATCAACCCCCTGTTGGTGACCATGTGCCCCAATTGCAGACTAGGGATCATCAACCGAGTAAGTAGTGTATGCAGGATCCTTCACGGTGTCCGGAACTTCACAGCATTGGTGTTGGAGGCCCGAAACTAGTGGTCTTGATGCTCTAGCCGGCAGATGGCACTGTATGCCTTCTGGTAGTGAAAGTCTCTGGTGTACTCTCGCTCTATCATCGTCATGGCGGTGGTGTTAAGGCCCATGGCCTGAGCAAACTCGTCATAGGTCAGCACGTGATGTTGACCTCCCAGCATGAACTCCACGTATGGCATGTTCCTTCTACTGCTAGGTGTCTCATAGATGAAGGTGGAGTAGAACTCCAAGCAAAGCTCTTTGTAGATGAGCTCGTCCACGGATAACAGACTTCAAGCTTGGGATGGATGAGCACCCTAGAAATAGCCGCCCGACACCTAAACATGGTGAACATGTCTAGGTCCAAGAACCAGTGAGGTCCCACATCGTTGTTCCTCCACTCCTCGAACCTATCCTCGTACTTGTGATGATTCACCAAGTAGCCAATGTACGGGTGGTCGGTATCAACCATCCTGCAAAAACATCAAAACCATACACCATACGTGGAAACATTTCATCAATCTCAAATCGAGGGGGAGAAAAGAAATCCCCCCTCCCCCCACACCCCACACACACACTTAGAATCCCACTATGCCTTTTAGGCTTTTCACAAGATCAATTCCCACAAATTTAAGTTCAATTGCACACAAGGCACGCCGAGGCATGATTCTAGGTGATTCATAGTTCAACAATATAGCAAATTCAAACCTAAACAATGCTTCAAAGGCCACCAACCATCATTCACAAAAGGAGGATAAACATTCATTCATAAATTGCACTTGTGGTCATTTTTCTCAATTCAACACAAATCATATCAAATTCGTGCCCACCAAGGCTCAACTAAGCTAAAAAACACTTCATTCATCATTCAAACAACATTAATCGACTAACCCCTCGCCCCATTTCAACATTGATTCATTAAAACACAACATCCCCTCACCTACAACCCTAATCTGATTCTCCAAAATTAAAAAGGCAAAAGTTCAAAACAAAGTTGGAGACCTAAGTAGGATCAAAGGGGAAGGTGAGGAGAGGGCAAGGGATTCCAAAAATGCATGAAAAACTGCCCGGAGAGGCTCGCCGGAGCTTCGTCGGAAGCTCACCGGAAGCTCGACGGAAATTGCCTTGCCAGAAAGAAGTCAAGCCAAATCACTCCAAAACTTCGGCGAATGTGCGCCCGGACGAGGGAAGAATGGATCTAGTCTTGGGTTTGAATTTGGGTGGCCGGAAGTCGCCAAAATCGCTAGAAAACGACTGTTGTCGCGGTTTTCTGTGAAGATTTCAGATAATTCCGGCGGAGGGTGGCAGCGTGAAGTGAATAATAAGGGTTCACGACCCTTTATATAGCACGAGCCCGAGGTTCACGGACGGAGGTAGATTTTCATGTTCGTGTCGACCGTGATAATAACTTCCGGACCGTGACCTCGGGTAAAAACGACGCGTTTCAAAAAGCTGGGGCTTGCCTTTGTTCATGGTCTCCGCCTCATTATTATGGTCTACTGACCGTGATAATAAGGCTAAAACCGTGAACTGATAAAAAACAGAGAATTTCCCAAAATTTCAAGACTCGATCTAATCAAGTGTGCCCCTAACTTGATCACAACACATCCAAAACATGCAGACACACAACTCTGGCACGGTGATCACCACTCAACCACTTGAACTTATCACTCAATTACAAAAAGAGAAAATAAGGAAAAGAAAACAAACCTACGTTGGGTTGCCTCCCAACAAGCGAGGTTAACGTTGCTAGATCGACGTTGCAGATCTTTCATGCTTGAGAGCACGAGGCCTCCGAGAGTGGATCCGCCACGATCTCGGAGCGAGGCTTGTCACCTCCCATCTCAAACTCCAAAGGGTGGCCTTCTTGGTCGGGCACTTTCGTTTTATCCTTATCCTTCTTCGGGGTAAATGCGTGGCTCATCTTTGCATGCCACACTTTCTTCTTTCCCCCTTCGAGTTTGGTACCCGCCTTAGGTTCCCGTTTCACATCAACAAAAGGAATAAAAGCACTAGTGGGGTTTGCCTTGAGTGGCTCACCTCCACCTCCAGACATACCATTCGATTCCACTTCCTTAGCGTCATCCTTCTTATTCTTAGTGTCAACCGAAAAGGTACTTTACTCCTCTCCATCTCTCAATATCAAAGTACCATCATTAACATTAATTAACGCCTTGGAGGTGGCAATGAAATGACATCCTAGTATGAGGGGCATATCCAAGGCATTCAACGACTTCCACTGTTGAGCCTATCTTCCTTGCCGTCGGTACTCAAACCGACATAGCTCGCCACACCGCATCCAGCTTTGGAAGCACTGATTCCTTCTTGGAATAGTCTGGGGTGGAGTTTGTACTGGTGTTGTTGGTTGTGGTGATGACTGATGAGTATTAGTGGCACCGCCACCGCCAGGATTAAAGAAGGAGGAAACAATAGCGGTGTCTCCTAGCATTGGAGGAGAGACGAACCACTCACCCAATTAATTATTTTGTTAAAGTGACGTGTCATTAAGTTAATGGTCCAGTCAATAGTTTCGTTTGCCACGTCATCGAAAAATTAATGGAGTTAACGGAATCTGACAGAGACTAACTACCGATGACTAACTGTAAAATGATTCGTAAAGCTAGTGACGAATAAAAAAAGAAAAGTATTTCAAATGAAAAATGTGAAAGATTTTAATAAGAATGACCAAATGTATAATTTAGTAAAAAAAAAAATAAAAATTTGATGAACACCAATGCACCTTCACAAGGCGTTGACACAAGTTGAATCAAATATCCACTGCAAAGCCCAATGGTCAGTAATTGGGCCACAGAAATATGGGCTCGCGGTTGCGCGGTAGAGCACCACCGAACCGCTTGACCCGCGAAGGCTTCGTTGACAAACAGCCATTTGTTTTTCCTTCCCACGAATTTGTCACACGAAACCGACACAGCAGTGGTTTAAAGAACCTTTGCAAAACCTTTATAAACCCTTAAACCCTAGCTAACTGCGGCAAGCAAGCAAGCAAGCAAAAGGGAGAGGGCCGAGAACTTTACCGCCGAATTACGTTGCCGGCCAGAAGGACCAGCGACTTAATCATCGTCTTTGTTTTTCTGTGTGCAGGGTTTTTGGAGAATACTGTGTTGTATAACCTTTACTGCAGGAGCTCTGGATATTGTAACACATACGTCGCACAGTTTCCTTGATCAAACCTATCGTTTACCTGTTTTAGTATATACTCTAGGTTTTTCAGATGGCAATCGATGGAAGGTTCAGTGTCCAATCTGCGCTGGAGAGGCTCCTTGCTCGTTGCCCAGAGCTCAAACGAATTAAGAAGATTGATAATCTTGTTAAAAAGGTGCAAATCCATTCTTAAATTACTCCTTTTCCAAGGATGAGGAATTGGAAGGCCTTGGGAGGATAGACGAATGAACTTCTTTCCCCCCTTGTTCTTCCCGTTTTTCTTCGACGAGAACTGTAATCTTTCTCTGTGGCAACCCATTTGTGTAGTCTGTTAAGTTATTGGCATTGGAATTTGTGTGTGTGCAGGGGGACGTAGGGATAGAAGAAGTGGTTAATTTGGCGGCAGAACTGTTTGTGAACCCAAAATATACAATTCTATTGGTTGGCTGTTTCCGAGCAATATCTCAAAAAATCATAGAGAAAGTGGTGTGGTTACTTGGCCAATGCAATCTGACCGGCAACACTAATGAAGAAGTAGGAAGTTTCAGTGACGCAGAAGCGTTTGTTGTTGAGCATTGCGTACGGAATGGCATGGGTTTGTATCTTCATGAGCTTGCTTGCTTGGCCTTCGCTCGTGCTCTTGACTTGGACCAGTCCTTGTGGAGGTAATTTGTTCTTCTCTGCTCAGATACGGTGCACTTGTGTGCTTGCAGTAGTTGCACATAGTGCTGCGTCACTGTTAATTTCCACCTTAGAGGTTGTGACGGCCTCTGTATAATTCTGTCACTTGAATCTGTTTTTTTTTTTTTGTTCAGCGTCTGCTTTTGTCAGTATTTGGATATTGGTATTAAACTGCTACTCTAGTGATGTAGTACCGCTCAGGGTTACATGTGTAAGATGTTCCTTGTTTTCCACTTGTTGCAGGTCTGTATCTCCGTATTTTAAATTCTCTCCTCCGCCCTTTGAAAGGATCTTGAGGAAAAGGGTGGTTTCTGAGATCTCGAAGGTTCTCACTCTTATCCCTCATGTTTCTGATTCATTTGTGTTGCAGTCTCGGGTATTTGTATCTGTTTATGTGCAATTGAGTTTACCTGCCATTTATAGTCAGTAGTAGATAAAATGTTATTCTGGTATTGGTCAATTTTATCCTTCTCTATATCTTAATCATCACTTGGAAGGGGATGTATCTATGATTGATGTCCTGACCTGTAACTGTAAGTAGGAGTTGAAACTTAATAGACGGGAAATGTGGTGAAATGCTTTTTCAGCTTTTTTTTTTTTTGAAATTTTCAAACAGACTTAAAAGTTGATAGAGTTTTGGGAACAAAGCCTGTGTGATGGCCCGATGATTTACACAAAACTTGTTACAGTCACTCCATTCCATGTGGTATTGTGTTTGGAGTAGGACGGCAGCAGGAAATTTACCTCTTGATTTGACTCCTTGTTTCTGAAATGTTGATTGATTTATTCCCTTATCACACATGTATTTATATATATTTTTATCAACCGTTTTTATTATTTTTAAAATATTTTATTGAAGATCTGTTTTGTGTCTCTCCAGCTTGCAGAGCATTACTTACTTGTAGCCCGGACGTCTTATCGTCTCCTTCTTATGGAGCCAGAGTGTTTTTCCAAACTATGGGACTGGTCTTGTTTTTTGGATCTTCTGAAGGAGACTCAGTGTCTTGATATGAGCCTTCTCAGAGAGCACGAGAGGGAACTTTCAGATATTGGATGGTCTGGGGAACAAATTCTAGCAGTTCTGTTGAAACTGAATGGGCCAAAGACCGAAAAGGCAGAAGAAGCAGCATCGTGTCTGTTGCGGTTGGTCTATATTTTGAATTTTGTTTGTAATTCAATTTTCTGTAGGCCTTCCTTACATGTGTAAGTATGTGATTCCTTTCCTGTTTGCAGGTGGGAGGACTTTTGTCGGGATGTCGCTTTAGAGAAGGGTGGTTCATACTTTGAGCTATTTGACAATACCAAGGAATATTCTTCCAATCATTTTAGCGAGCAGGACTGCCTAGAATCTATTAGCCTTGGTCCAGTGAAGTCATCGCCGCTTCAGGAAATTGAGCCTGCAGTAAAAAGTCGAAGGTTAACTAGATGGTATGTTTTTCAACAATCATCTATGAAGCTTGAATAATTAATTTTCTTACATTGTAAATGAAGTTAGTCCTAACGTCATATATGAAGAAATTCGTGGGTAGTGATGTTTGTTTCTTCATTTGATTGTTAATCTGTTACTGTTTTGCCAACATAATTAGGATCTTGAAGTTTGCTTTGTCGACTTTTATTGCGTTCTGTGGTTATTAGCAGTGAATCGGTTCGCAATCCTTTTGTCGTCACATCGGCGATGCGAAGAAGCTTTGAGATGGTTCTTTTAGCTGTTAGTCAAAGGTGGCCTGTTCTTCTTTATGGTCAACCTGGGGTCGGGAAAACAGGTCTGATAAGCAAGTTGGCTGAAGATACCGGAAACCAAGGTATTTCAAATTACAATAAGAACAATAAGAACTGTAGAAGTTAACATATGCTACCCCAAATCTCCTATGTGTTTGTTGCACAACCATTTTAAGATTCGGTTGCATCTCCTGTTAAATCAGTTGGTTTCTGGAGCTTGTACTTGCCTGATTAAATGGACTAAAAAGTTCTCTAATAACAGGATTTACATGAAAAACACAGTTATATCTAACTGGTACAAGTTTCAGTGAGGCATTGACATTACGTAAAAGACACACCTAATGTGTATTTTTATCTTGATCTCTAGGTAGTGTACCTGCAGCTTAAGGAAATTCCTTTAAGGCATCTTGGGGTCCGATTGTATGTTAGAGATTTTTGCCTTTTTGGGTCCATTTTGCAGTATAGATCTATCAAAGGTTGGAGGCTGAGGATAATGGTTGGCATGCAAATATAAGATGTTGCCATTTATGTAATGTGAGAAATTAAAAAGATCTAAAAAGGAATATGAAAAGTAATGAAGCTTCATCACTTGGTGTGAAGTGTGGTATCATTCTCTAATTGTGTGAAAATTATTTTATGTAAAGCTTCATTATTTGTGGAGTAGACTGTCTAAGCACCACATTTAGGACATGGTTGTGGAACGGGAGAGTTGTGGAAGCTGTTTGTACTCTAAAGTGCTTAAACTTGAAGTATGGGACCTTGGTTTGGCTCTGTGCTAGATTCTCTAATGAACACATCATTTAACCTTCCATTTTATTTTTTTTATTCTAAGTTTCTTTTACTTCCTCTTACGGTGGTACCTCCAGGCTATGTTTATTTACTGATATATGTTTCTTGTTCCAGTTCTGTCTATTCATATGGATGATCAAATTGATGGCAAAACATTGCTTGGGAGTTATGTTTGTACCGAGAAACCTGGTGAATTTAGGTGGCAACATGGAACACTTATCCAGGTTGTTTATTACATTTATGATGTGCTTGTCTGTAGACCTGTTAGATTCCAGCCCTTGTGATTGAGTATGCAGTATGGGCTATCTTCCATTCACCGTGACCGAGACAGTTCTCTTTCCACAGGCTGTTCTGGGTGGGTATTGGGTTGTATTTGAGGATATCGACAAAGCCCCAGCTGATGTGCAATCTATCTTGTTGCCTCTATTGGAAGGTGCAAGTTCTTTTGTCACTGGTCATGGAGAGGTAACCATGTAACTCAATCTATATAGTTTTAGTTTTTTCTTTTTGCTTTTGATCATTTTAGTAATAACTAAGGATCGCTTTCTTTCAGGAAATACACGTGTCAGCAAATTTTAGATTATTCTCTACCATTTCTACATCTAAGAGTGATGTATCTCGATCAGCCGAAGGTTTGTAGAATTTATCTCTGGTTCAGCTTCATTGAAGGCTGCTCTTATGTTGTTTTAATTAAAGGTTCTGCAGGAATTATGTGTTGTACTTGTTGTGGTTGAAATGGAACTTATCCCGTCTTTTTCCTGTTTGAAGGGGGGAATGTGCTTAGCGTTTTTTGGAGAAGGGTGATGATTGACCCCCCAAATACAGATGACTTGAAAAACATACTGAATGTGTGGTATCCAGTTTTAGAGCCTCTATCTGGAAAGATCTTGCGTGGGTGTTAACTTTTCTTGGCTTATCTTATTTAAACTTTGAATTGCCTTAGCTAGCCAATGATAGTATTCACTCTGTTCTGTTTTTGTGCCCATTTGTAGAAACATTTGAGCGAGTCAACTCTGCCACTGTCCTTCAATCTTGTGGTTTTCTATCCAGAAATTCTGCTTCCTCCAGTTCCCTTTCCAGGTTCTCAACAAGGTATTATGTCTTCCGTCACATTGGCTCCAGAAGATATTGTCACCCAGGTCCTTACGCTAATAGAAAAATTCATGTGTGGTAATGCAGGGATCTACTCAAGTGGTGCAAACGAATTTCAGGGTTAATTTCTAACTTTAATGGAGATAGGTCAACTGAGTGGCACTTTATTTACCTAGAGGTCTGATCTCGTCATTTAATGTCCTGCACTTTGTTTTCTGTCTGCTGATTCATCTAAGATGTTGGAAGTTTATTTGATTTTCTTATAATGTCTACTTTCAGGCTGTAGACATATTTGCAGCCTTTTCAGCGTCTGTCGAGAAGCGGCTTGCTGTGATGAAAGAAATAGCTGATGTGTGGGGAGTTCCCCACTCTGAAGTTGCCATATTCCATCCTTTCAGACCTGAGATTCAGGTGACTATATCTTGATAATATAAAGAACTCAGCTACTTATATGCCTTGACTTATATTTATTTGTGTACCTCAGGTTCTTTCTACGGAGCTAAGGGTTGGTCGAGTTACCCTTGAACAACACAATACTACGGTTGGTGGGAGCATTTGTTTTAGCCTAGTTGAGTTTGTATCCTTCTCTTTGTTGATATAAAATTATACTGTTACAGGATCGCTTTCATGGAAAACTTGTCGCGATGCGTAGTTCTCTGTATGTACTTGAGAGGATAACTTGTTCTGTTAAGAACAATGAGTCTGTTCTTTTGGTTGGTGAAACTGGAACAGGGAAAACTACTCTTGTGCAAAATCTGGCCATGATGCTTGGTCAGAAACTGACTGTTGTGGTACGTACATATCTTTCTTCCTTCCATATAGTTTTCTCCTTTCGCCTCATCATATCTAAGATCTTACGGGAGCTGCTATTGGCTTACAGAACTTGAGTCAGCAAAGTGACGTTGCTGATTTACTAGGAGGATTTAGGCCCATGGATCCACAGTCTATTTGTGTTCCCCTCTACAAGGAGTTTGAGAACCTGTTTTCCAGGACCTTTTCTGTGAAGGTATGTGCTATATGGAATTATGATTTTCCTGTGATGTCCTTTTGCCTTCGTGATCTTGAGTAACTCGTTTTTGGATGCTGGCTCGCAGGAAAATGGTCAAATCTTTGCCTATTTACAAAAGATCCTGAGCCAAAAGAATTGGGGAAAGTTATTGAGTCGGTTGAAGAAGTACGTTGAGGATGTCTATAAAAAGGTACCAATAGAAAGCTTTGGGTCTGGGAAGAAGCGAAAGCAACATTCAGACAGAGAAATAATTCGCGAGGACTGGGATAGTTTTGCTAAGAAAATTGCAACTGCTTACGGGCAAGTGGGAGATTCATCTGGTATGATATTTTCTTTCATAGAAGGAGCCTTCGTCAATGCTCTTAGAAATGGGGAGTGGATTTTGCTCGATGAGGTGAATTTAGCACCCCCTGAGACTTTGCAGAGAGTCATTGGTGTTCTAGAGGGAGAATACGGTTCACTGTGTTTGGCTGAAAAAGGAGACATTGCAGATATACCTCGTCACACCAACTTTCGCATGTTTGCCTGTATGAATCCTGCAACTGATGCCGGGAAGAGGGACTTGCCATACTCTCTGAGGAGTAGATTTACAGAGTACTTCGTTGATGATGTGTTGGACCGAGAAGACCTGAAATTATTTATAAACAAATATCTGGTGGAAAGAGAAGCAAATAGTGAGTTAGAAAGCCGGATCATTGATTTCTATGGATCTGCCAAAACGAACTCAGAGGATAGGCTGCAGGATGGTGCCAACCAAAAGCCTCAATACAGTTTGCGGTCGTTGTACCGAGCACTGGAATATACCAGAGAAGCAAGCAAACAGTTTGGCTTTCAGAAAGCTTTGTATGATGGATTTTCTATGTTCTTCCTGACTTTATTGGACCAACCCAGTGCTGAAATCATGGAAAAATTGCTCACTAGGAAGTTGCTTGGTGGAAAGAAACCTTTAGATGTACCTTTTTGCTCGTACTTAAATGACTTGCATTCTGCAGAATCCATGGCAAATTATGTGCTCACAAAGGGTGTTGAGAAGCAGCTTGAGAATTTAGCACGTGCAGTTTTTATTAAAAGATACCCTGTCCTCTTACAAGGGCCAACATCTAGTGGAAAGACGAGCCTTGTTCAGTATCTTGCCACCAGAACAGGGCATAAATTTGTGCGCATAAATAACCATGAGCATACAGATTTACAGGAATATTTAGGGTCTTACATATCTGATGCTCATGGAAAGCTCGTTTTTCATGAAGGCGTATTGGTTAAGGCAGTCCGGGAAGGTCATTGGATTGTTTTGGATGAGCTTAACCTCGCCCCATCTGATGTACTGGAGGCGTTGAACCGTCTGCTAGATGATAACAGGGAACTTTTTGTTCCTGAATTGCGGGAGACAATTAGGGCACATCCAAATTTCATGCTTTTTGCCACTCAGAATCCGCCTACTTTCTATGGTGGCCGTAAAATGCTTTCTCGTGCTTTTCGTAATCGTTTTGTGGAGGTTCATGTGGATGAAATCCCAGATCACGAGATGAGCACAATTATTGAGAAGCGGTGCTGTGTCCCTGGGAGCCGTGCTGGACTCATGGTTGAGGTCATGAAGGAGCTGCAGATGCGCAGGCAGAGTAGCAAGGTCTTTGCTGGGAAGCATGGATTTATAACTCCAAGAGATTTGTTTCGCTGGGCTAGTCGCTTGCGAACGTTTTCAGATTCTAAGGAAGTAATGGCAGAGCATGGTTATTACCTTTTGGCGGACAGGTTGCGTAATGAGGCCGAGAGGGTTGTGGTTCGGGAAGTACTGAAGAAAGTTATTAAAATTGAAATTCATGAAGAGAACTTGTACAAGGTAACTTTTTTGCAATCTCGAGATGCTTCCACCAAATTGTCATTAAAATAACAGTGTGTTAAGTAATTCTAGGTCCCTCTTATAACTGGACTGGCATATGTTTCAAATTTGTCCAAAATAGGCTTGACCTTTGTTGTCTGGCATGTATGCAATGAATGCGTTGAATGTCTGCTGGTGTTTTAGTTTCATGGTTGCAATTCAGCTTGCTAGAGGCCGTACAGTTCATATGGTATTTATGACATTCTTCTGACTGGAGCCTGTGAATGCAGCTACACATTTCTTTCAGTTTGCTTATATTTTGTATCATTCTTCTCCTTTTGCTGCTTGATTCTTGTCCATCATTACCCAATATAACAATTGTTGTGCTTGCTGTATGCTGCATTTTAAATCTCACTATGGACTTCTTAATGTCTGCGTGAACTTTGGTTTTTTCTTGCTTAATTTTCTGTGTACTGTTCAGGGATCAGCGGGAAGTCATTCAAATTCAGGCTTCCAGAGTCTAGGAGAGTATGTACTTCTTAGATATCTTTTCTGCTCACGTTTTTCTTGTGAAGTTTTACACTGTTTCTGTGGCGTATCCTACTTCCTCAAGCTGATCTTTCTTCTTCACATTTTTTCATATTATTTTGTTCAGTGTCATCTTGACTGCAAGCATGAGGAGATTGTTTTTTCTTGTTGACTGCTGCTACAAGTTGCGAGAGCCTGTCCTGCTAGTTGGTGAAACTGGTGGTGGAAAGACAACTGTCTGTCAGCTACTAAGTCGTACTCTGGGGTCAAAATTGCATATCTTGAACTGTCACCAATACACGGAAACTTCTGATTTCCTTGGGGTTTGTGTCCTTTGCTCTAGTTTCTGTGTTCCGCTTTTCTTTTTTTGAATTACCTGTTTAAATGTCGTAAGGCTACTCATCAAGTAGTAGTTGACGCGTTGAACTGGCTTAACAGGGTTTTTTCCCCATTCGAGAGAGGTCAAGGTTGGCTGCAGATTTCAAGGATACAGTAGAAAAATTGCTGATGACAGAGGCTTTCGCTCATTGCCCTAAAGACTTGGTAAGGAACCGTTGACATTTTCTGGTGGGAGATCTTAAACTTCTCAATGAACATATAACTCCTTACATGTTCCTATGGTGCAGGGCATTTCTTCCGACATTCGCCAAGGGTCTTCAAGCATTGCTTCTGTTGATGAGATAATCCGTAACTATAGACAAGGCCAGTTCTCAGTCACTAACGTTACTGCTGAAGACCTTGATACCCTCGAGGGGATGAAATGGGATCTCAGTGAGCTGCATAAAAAATGGCAGACTATATTTATGTGGCAAGATGGTCCCCTTGTTGAGGCAATGAAGGCAGGAGATCTGTTTCTTATTGATGAAATATCATTGGCAGATGACAGTGTACTGGAAAGATTGAATAGTGTGCTAGAGCCAGAAAGAGAACTGGTTGGTATTATTAACATTTAATTGTGGAGCTTGTTCTTTATTGTATGTCATATAACTGCTGTTACTCTGTGCTAATCGTCCTTACCCATCATTCTTGTGTTGTGCTTGTACTTTTAAATTTTTATATTTACTAGTTAAAGGAAGTTTTAGGTCAGAGAATCATATTACTATTAAGTGTTTTATTAGAATATTGGATTAATTTTGTTGTCTCTATTGGATAGAACGATATATGCATTGCTTCCAGATTAGCTTTTCTGGCCTAGATCTGATGTCATATTTGGGTATGGGGTGCTGAAAATGTTTGTGATGTGTAAACTTATAGGAATTTTATCTTTGCAGTCACTGGCAGAGAAGGGAGGGTCTGAAATGGAAAAAATTACTGCTCATCCCAACTTTTTTGTGCTTGCTACTATGAATCCTGGTGGTGACTATGGTAAGAAAGAGTTATCTCCAGCTCTTCGAAACAGGTTTACAGAGATTTGGGTCCCTCCTGTTGGTGATTTGCATGAACTTAAAGACATTGCATTGAACAGGTACATTATCATTGTCAGTGATGGTTTAACTTGAAGATTAAATGGTTCTCTTTTTTATGTTTAATTTAAACTTGTGCTTTCAGATTCAACCACCTCGACCTCACATACATTCTGGATGTTATCGTAAAGTTCTGGGATGTAAGTTTACTATGTTTTCTGAGGTTTCCATAATGCAGTGGACAATCTTCTTAACTTCGCTGTGTTTGTTGCAGTGGTTCAACAAGTTACAGACAGGGAGAATACTTACTGTACGGGATCTTTTATCCTGGGTTGAATTCATTAATGTTACTAGAAGAAGTCTGGGACCACAATATGCGTTAGTACACGGGCTTTTCCTTGTTCTGCTTGATGGTTTACGTCTAGGTAATTATTTATTCTCATCGTTGGACATTGCATCTTATCTTGCTACACTTTGTTCTGCTTGCCTGCTTTCATGGAAGGGGAAAAAATTTGACTTCAGACATCAACATAATTTTCACATCACTTCCTATTGCCAGCATTCAGAATCCTCCGCGAGATCCGATTGTCTTGCTGGCAATCGGTTGAACGTCCTTTTCTTGAGGCTTGTGTGCTGATGCACATTTAATTGATGTCATCAGAGGTCTTTACTGTTAACAGGCGAGAATACTTTTGTACTCTTTTGTATGCAATGCAGCTCTGGTCTAGTCATGCCTTGTCTAATACTTCGACGACATATTCAAAGTGGATGGCACTAGTTAATATTACATTTTACTATCCAAGTTACAACTACTATTCTGCTTCTCTTTGCCTGTTCATTTGCACTAGCATGTCGCTTTCCCATTATATTTTGTTAACTTGTTTTCGGTACTCCTTCCTTTAGTTACTTGTTTGACGTTCTGAGCTGAGTTTATTATTGTCCTTCAGGAACAGGGATTTCTTTACCTGATGCCAGAGTCTTAAGAGAGAGATGTATATCCTTTATCCAAGAACAACCCGAGGTAAATTTTATTCATCTATATGCTTCTGGTTCCATTTTGCTAATTGAAGTTGTAGAAGGGTTGTTTAGGCTAAACATGATAATGAACCAACTTCCTTTGTGCACCATATACATGATTTATGTAGGTTATTTATGCAAAGTTAATATTGGAAGTTAGATCTGATTGTCGAAGTTATATTTTTATATTGTGCACCATGTTCAGTTGTTAACTTGTAAGATTCTGTAATGTCTCATTGACACTGCCTTCCCTACCAAGTTGGTTACAATTCTATGCTGTTGATGTCGTAGCTCCGTGGTGTTCCAAATTTGTCTCTTATGGATTATGGATGGAGTGATCAAATGGACATTTCATGCATTGAAGATAATCAGCCTGAAAATACATTTGGGATCAGTCCGTTTTATATTGAACAAGGTAATGTGGAATATGTTTGCTTGTTCTAATTTGCCTCCGCCATTAAAACAAAATTTTAATTTGCCTCCGCCATTAAAACAAAACTTTAGAACTGCATGAACTTCAAGTACATCATGTGTGTTTGAGCTCCATGTTGTGTGTTTTCTCAGGTGACCAGTGCTGTGAGTCTCAAGGTTTTGAATTCCTAGCTCCTACAACACGTAGAAATGCCATGCGCGTATTGAGGGCTATGCAACTTCCAAAGCCCGGTATGTTTTCTTGTGCATATTTTACTCTTACGATCCCTAACTATCAATCTGCAGAAGGAATTTCATAACTTCAGGTCAGGGCAGTTCTGTACTGCCTTGCTTTGTAAATGCTGTGTTTATGCTTTATGTTCGCATTGCTTGTGTAGTTCTACTGGAAGGTAGCCCTGGTGTTGGTAAAACAAGCTTGATTACTGCGTTGGGAAAATATTCTGGGCATAAAGTTGTACGCATAAACTTATCTGAGCAGGTTTGTCATTTAGAATGTGTTCTTCTTCATTTGGCTCCTTCTGCCTTCCAAAACTTCCCTTGTAATATTCTACCACTCATAAGCCTTACTCTGCCATAACTGGTTATTTTCTTTATGGTATTTTATGATTTTGTGTGTTCTTTTGTTTGTGTTCTCTGAATGTGCAGACTGACCTCATGGACCTATTGGGTTCTGACTTGCCTGTTGAGAGTGATGATGGGATGAAATTTGCATGGTCTGATGGAATCTTGTTACAGGTAAGCCTTCCTATTTGAGGGCCTGTTCTGTTGACCTTCAATCAGCTATAAGTTCACTTTGTTGTGGTGGGGCAATTAAGTTCTGCTCACTTACTTTTTACTTGTCCTTGCTCAGGCATTGAAGGATGGTTCTTGGGTTCTGCTGGACGAGCTCAATTTGGCTCCGCAGTCTGTCCTAGAGGTACTTGTATTAGATTTAAAGACAACTATCTTTTGTATGCTCTTACGTTCTAATTCTTGGTGTTCTATTTTTATCAGGGCTTGAATGCTATCCTTGATCATCGTGCTGAGGTGTTCATTCCAGAGCTTGGACTTACCTTCAAGTGTCCACCATCGTTTAAAGTTTTCGCATGTCAGAACCCTTTCTACCAAGGAGGTGGCAGAAAAGGCCTTCCGAGGTCCTTTTTGAATCGATTCACTAAGGTATGTTTATCATACGATAAAGGCCATCTTACTTATCCTGCTTTGGGTAATTGGAGTTGCAATCTGGATCAGAAATTCATCACCAGTCTGCTTATTCCAGGTGTATATAGACGAGCTAGTTGAAGCTGACTACCATTACATCTGTAGTTCACTGTATCCTTCCATTCCTGGACCTTTGCTTTCAAAGTTAATCACTTTCAACAGAAGGTTGCATGAGGACACCATGTTACATCACAAGTTTGGACAGGATGGTTCCCCTTGGGAGTTCAACCTGCGTGATGTACTTCGTTCATGCCAGATAATTGAAGGTTTGTTTAACCCTCATTTCATATGATTTTGTATTTTATCTCTTTGTCCTACTAATTTTTTCCCCTTGAACATGTATTTCAACCTCAGGTGCCTCAGAGAAGTCAAAAGTTGATTGCTTTGTCAACATCGTCTATGTGCAGAGAATGCGTACAGCAGCTGACCGTATTGAGGTCCAAAGGCTGTACGAAGAGGTTTTTGGAGTTAAGCCATCCATCAATCCTTACCCAAGAGTGCAGCTGAGTCCAGAACATGTTAGAGTTGGTTACACAGTCATTCAAAGGAACGGCTGTTCTGCCTTAAAATCCCCAAACAGTGAGCTGAAACTTTTACCTAGCATTCGTCATTGCATGGAAGCTGTTGTTAGCTGTGTTAAGCATCAGTGGTTGTGCATCTTGATTGGTCCGCCATCCTCTGGGAAGACATCCTTGATTAGGCTACTTGGTCAGCTGAGTGGCAACAAGCTGAATGAATTGAATTTGTCAACTGCTACTGATATTTCTGAGCTACTTGGATCCTTTGAGCAATACAATGCTTTCCGCAATCTAAGACTGGTGTTTGCTCAAGTTGAGCATTATGTTACTGAGTACTGCAGTTTGAAGCTGGATGAGCCGAAGACCGAGTTCATCACCAGGAGAAGTGAGATAATGGCCAAATGGCTTACTCTCTCATCGAGCATGGATTTTGTGTCCTTGTCAACTTCCACCTTCATGTGTATCGAGAACTGGGATAGCATTGCTAAATCGTTGAACATGGTGATTGAGATTGTTGCATTGTTAATGTTGGATTTAACAAACAATCTCCTGCCTGTTTCTTGGACATCCAAAGAACTAGACAAAATTCTGAAGTCGATTTCAAAGTTTCAAGAACATCATCATGGGAAGCCCTCTGCCAAGTTCGAGTGGGTTACGGGATTGCTTGTGAAGGCAATAGAGAACGGGGAATGGGTTGTTTTGGAGAATGCAAACCTTTGTAATCCGACGGTACCTCTCCTGCTCATGAATTTTGTTTCTCTCTCTTCCCATACTTTTCAAATATTTTCTGTAACTAGCATGCATTGTCTCGTTGATCTGCATAACATTTTCTTGCATGCTTCAGGTACTTGACAGAATCAATTCTTTGGTGGAGCCAAGTGGGTCTATAACTGTCAATGAGTGTGGACTTGTTGATGGAAGCCCTCTCATTCTTCGCCCGCACCCCAATTTTCGGATATTTCTCACTGTTAATCCGACCAGTGGTGAAGTATCCCGGGCAATGCGAAATAGAGGCGTTGAAATATATATGATGCAGCCATATTGGCTGCTTGATGAGGCAGAGGGATATAATCATGCCGAGTATGAACTAAAGGATGTTGAGCGACATCTTGTTCTATCTGGTATTCCTGGTGTCAGATTGGTTGAATCAATGGCTAAAGCTCATGTTTATGCTAGAAGGCAAGCTTTGACCCATGGTCTGGAAATTTCTTATCTTGAGCTTGCACGCTGGGTTCAGCTGTACCAGAAGCTTCTCACAAGTGGAAACCATAATTTGTGGAGTCTCCAGATCAGTTGGGAACACACATATCTCTCATCCCTTGGGGAGGCTGCGGGACGTGACATTATCAGCCATGGGAAAGATATTTATTTATCAGAATCGGTACTGAAGTATGTTTTCTCTCTTCACTCTTCTCTGCAATTACCTGGTGGTTGGCCGGCACCTTTGAGAACCTTGGATTTTGTTTTGCACTCTGAAATGGCTACTGTTAAGCAGAACTGCATGTATTTGGAGACTCTGATCTTGCAATATGTAGGCTGGTCCTCACATAGGCATCCGATGAAAAGTCTTTTAACTCTGCCAAGTAGTGATGTGGCCTTCCTGATGAATGAGCAGCTGATTTGTAAACTTATGTTTCCTGAGACTCCTGAGCAGATGATTCCCAAGTCCTATGTTGACAAACTGGTTGATGTAAAGATGAAGAGACAAGTTTATTATGCTGCCAACTGGACTCTTGAACAGGCTACCTTGAAGGATTACAAGCTGTATCTTCTGCACCTTAGCTGGCTTAGCTCTAAAGTGAAACCTTTTAGCCTGTTCATTAGTTCATTACTGGAGTTACTTGAGAAGGAATTCAAACATCCTATTTGGGAGTGCATTTTCAATTCTCACCGCAGACTAGCCACTCATCGTAACAGAGATCTGTCTTTACAATCAAAACCATTGCTTTCTCTCGATTTTTCTGATGTTTCTGCATCAGATGGTGGGTTGAATGAACATGTTCTGCATAGTGCTGTTAACTTGACAGGTCTCCTGAGGCAGTCACACCAGCAGTGGGATTCGCAGAACAGACATCTGTTTGTTAATGAAGCTCATTGTTTCAAACCAGTTCTTGAGTCTCTTCAACAGCTAGAAGAAGAAGTGCTTGAGAGACTTGTTGAATCTGAATTCTATGAACTACTGCGAACATTGTATTCAGACCTTATTGATCACCATGTTGCATTTTGGGAGGCTTTTATGTCTTCAAAGGTTGAGGAATTGTTGATCTCCTGGCAATGGCTAGTGAAGGATATATGCAACTTGCGAAATTTCTTCCCTAGGATAGCAGAAAATGTTTTGCTGGTATGTTAACTTTCACTTATATATTTCCCTCTTATCATGTTCATTGAAGCGAACTCAGATTCATCTGCTTGCTGCAGATTGCTAGCAGGAATCTTGATAGGTCTTTCCATCAGCGGTCAGAGCAGTCTCTGTTATGGGTTAATGGGGGTCATCCCATTTTACCATCTTCAGCTACTTTGTATGACAAACAACAAAAGCTGTTCGATCTCTGTCAAACCATTTGGCCCACAAATATAAATCCATTCCAGCGTGGTATGGCCTGTTCATACTTGCTTGTAGATTTTTCTTCTGTCTTCTCTCTATTAATTTCTTCTGATCATGTTGCAGAAAACGACCATCTTGTTGAAGTATTAGCTTCTACGATTGCTGAGCTTCGTTCCCTTGGTCTGCAAGGTAATATTTGCTGGTGTTTATGTGCTTCCCACTTTTTGAATTTTACCTCTGCTGCCACGTATCTTTTGTAGTAGCAGACGTTGCATTTTATTCTGTTGACCACTGGTTCTGAAGGTTTCTCAGCTGACATCTCCAGTTGCGCGAGTGGTTTGTAGACCATTGCAAACACCACCCTTTCCCTGATGACTAATGTCGCTCCAATATCTTAGATACATTCAGCTGCCTGGTTTACTTATTTGTGAACAACAGAAACTTTTTGGGGATTGTCAACCTGCTCTTATGTGCATACAAGCAGTACACTAGGGGTCACAGAAAGCGGTTGTTGATATCATTAAAATTACCATATCTATTGTCATCCTTCAGATATACAGTCTCTACTCTTACATTATGTACTTGCATTCAGAGGACACTGATAATTTTCACCTTAATTGCAAAGTCATTTCCTTTTGGAAAGCTTGTGTTGTGTCCTCAACAATCAGTTCTTTTATTTCAGGCATATGCATGTCTCTGTATATAGCAAACAAAAATGATGAGGACGGCACAGATATCGTTGGGCAGTTGGATGAGATGAATCAGGTTCACTGTACTTACTATAGATGATAGAATTGTTTGCTTTCTTTGTACTTTTTTACTCATTGTTTGTTGGGTTGGCAGGTACTTCGCAAGCGGTACTTGTTTGAAAAGAGAAAGTTGGAGGTGAAAGTCCAGGCGAGTGATAATGCGACTGCTGACGGGAGTCCAACTTATTGTTGTGTGATTCGCCCTGAACTCTTGTGGCTGAAAACGGGTCTTGTTGGTTGGCAAGAGACAATTCCCATCGTTGACGCTGCAAGTTTTTTCCTTGACATGGAGATATTGGAAAAGCTTTCACTTCTGATTCTGAATAATCCCAGAGCATTGCAACTGGTAGGGGCTTGTAGATGACATTCATCTTAACATTGGCCACCCTATTTCTGTTCTTCATCCTCCTATTGTTGGTTGAACTGCTTTATTCTTTTTATGTTGAAAAAAGAAAAGATGAGGTGCCAGGCTGATTGTTATGGTCCTTGTTATGACAGGAGTTGGCTTCAGTGACTTCACTGCTGGAGCATGCCTTAAAATACTCCAGGATTTCGGGAAGACCTCCACAGAATTTCATACCACACCAGAAAATACTGTGGATGTTTGATGCTTGGACATCCGTACATGAAGGTTTGTGACATGTGATGTTTTGTGTGTGTGTGTGTTTGGTTTTGTTGTGCTGACAACTGTGAATTTTTTGCCTAGTAGTAAATTCACGAATTACCAGCTATGTTCTTGAAATGTGGTTCTGGTGGCATTCTTCCTTGTGGAACCACTACCCTCCTTTTATTCAGGTATGCATGGAATTGGTCTAGATACTATCACACAGAAGAAGGTAAGGCTCAAATATGTGTATTTATGCCCACTCTTTTCTGCAGGAGTTCTCGAAGTTTGATGACTATGATCTTCCACTTCCACATATGCTTCTTCAGCCGATTAAGATAGCAACTGTTGCACAGATTCTGTGAGTGCAATTATATCTAGGAAGTTCGACAACCTTGACTATGTCATTATAAACCTTCACGCAGGCGCATAACTTTTGCTTGTTTCTTATTTCTGAATGAGAGAAAAACTGGTGTGCCATAGATTGTGCAATTGTTTAGATAAACAGAATGCTTGTTTCCTGTCATATGATAGTTCCCTAGGAAAATACGACAGCTATCCTTAACGTGGAGACAGAGCATATTCTACCTAGGTGGTCTATGCTCTTTCAGTCTGTGTGTCTTGGCTTTTATCTTTGAAGAGTTTTATAACAAGCATATAAAATGTAGCATTTATGTTAGTCTTGTCTTTTCACACTCGGCCGAGTAGTTATGTCGACATTGTCTCTTTTTCAATTCAAAATCTGTAATCAGGAGGGGCAAGGGTACTGTTAAGGATTATTTTGCACACTGCTTGAAGCTTGAAGCTGCTGTGTGTTATCTATGGCAAAGTCCCCAAATAGGATCTGGTGTTTCTGGATTTCTGTTGTCTGCTGCAAGTTCTCTCTTCCAACAGGTATTTTGGTACCATAAGTCTGCCAATTCACTGTTTCTCGCGTTATCAAGCAATGTATATGTAGCTATACTGTTTCTCGAGTTCTCTAACAGCAGATTTCTCTTATGATGTTTCACTAGATCATCCATGCACATGAGGAGACGTTTGATTCTGATACTTTTGCTGCAATTGCGAGAATGTTTTCCACTCTCCAGAAGAATATTGTAAAGGTATGCTTCTTGTAAGTACTCCGTCCTAATGGTAATTATTTTGAAGCCGTACTGACTGTGCTTAAATTCTATTGGTGCAGCAAACTGACCTAGAACAGCTGAGCTCCCTTGTTATGACATCGAAACATCGAAAATTGACGTCCCTGCATTTCCTGATTGAATCAGTGCTCAAAGATCTCTATATTCATCGTTCATCAACTGGTAATTTTGCCTACTGGTCATTACCCACTCTATGATTGTTTTGTGCCAGCTGGATTTTACTTTCTTGCTCATGTTTGCTTTGACTTAATTTTATCTGTAGTTGCAAACATGAACGTTGGGTACACTTGGTTGAGGATTGGGCTGTTGCGGTTCAGTCTCTTGATCACTTCTGATGACTTGGATCCTATGATGGAATATTCATACAAGTTTGCGCTGCTAGAAGATAAGATCTCATCACTTGAAGTCGAAATCAAGGTTGGGAATTTGATGGTTTTCTTTGTCTATTGTAACCACTGTTTTCCTTTTTGTGGTTTTAATATATTCGCTGCTGAGTTTCAACGAAGTATATTTCCTGCCTAGTTTGTGTTGTTAATTGTTTGTTCCTGTCTTGCATTGCTTGCCTGATTATCAACTCCTATGGGTATCCAAATTCCTTTACTTCATGAAGCTCTCGTGGATGTATGTAAACCTTAACTGGTATCTCTTGTTGTAGGTGCGACAAGAATGTGACTACTTATCAGGATGGGCTCAGTCAAGAGAGGCTCATGAAAACAGAAAGAGGGAATTGGAAAAGCTTAAACTTGAGCATAAAGTGCTTCAAAGCAAGGTCGGAAAGCTTATTTTCTAATCTTTATTTGAACCAATATGTGTGTGTGCTGCATTGATCTTATTGCTTCTCGTTCTAACTTACCGTTTCTATGTATTGTGCTCAGATTGTGTTCCGCAGCAATCCCTTAAAATTTAAGGCATTTAGGAAAGAATGCAAGGATTTCAATAAATCTGTGATGGCAGTGATGGATTTTACAAGCAATATTGATTCTAGAGAGTCGGAACAAGTTATTCTTCAAGTGTGCAACTGGCAGGTACGTTGGTACCGAGTGTGGAAAATTGTATCTAGGTCAGCTTTACCATTATCTTAATGCTGGTTCTCTTTTATCCTACAGAAAACAGCAAAGTCTTTTATTGAGCGGCTATCAGATGAATATAAAGAGTACATCGACCTAGCTCAACCAGTTCAGGTGGCACTATATGAAATTAAATTGGGCCTGTCATTAGTTTCTTCAGCTACCTTGAGTAAAGACTTACTGCGCAAGATCAATGAGGATAATCTGGAACTCCTTTTGGTACTAATGTGCTCTTATATTTTTTATCGTAAAATTAACAATTATTTTCATCTAGACTTTGTCTGCAACCTTATCACCAATTACTTATCTATACTACAGGATTCAATTTATTCATTTCTGAAATTTCCTCGAGGAGATGGTCTGGAGTCAATTTCTTCTATTGATCTCGGTATTCCTACAATTTCCTGGGACTTGAGAATAGATTTGCTGGAAAAACTTGCTTCCATCTCAAGGGATGCTGATGGCGGGAGAGTGGTATTTCTTTGCCGACGACACTGTTTCTTTTGATTGTTATTTCTCTTTGTTGTGCTACTGTTAACATGGTCTCAACAAATGAAGGCATCAAATTTTCTCTTGAATTAATTCAGGTTGCCGATTGAACTTAATGTTGTGTGCTCATGCATTAAATGCTTGTTGAATTGAAACAGGTCTCTGTATTGCAACGCAAAGCTGCAATTTATCATAATGTTCTTCTGCGTGTGGTACACCTCCTAGCCGTGAGCCAAAGGATTGATGATGCTTCTTTCAAGGTGAGCTGTTTCTTGGAGCAATTAAACAGAAATGAGGTTTTGGTCTGGATGACAGTCATTTAACACGCGTATCCGCGTCAGATGTTGGACAAATTGTTCAGGGGCTTTGCTATTATGTGGATGGATATGAAAGCTGAAGTCCAGGATAAAGAAGGGCTCGATGCTCAACAATACAAGTTCAAGCCCCGTGCGTTTGAGATCCAGAATGTTATTGATGCTGATGTGTCAATGCTAGCAAAATACTTCTCAAATGATAGCTTCTCGGAATTAAAGGAGCTGCTTTCTGAAGAAGATGAATCTTCGGAAAAGGTGATTTCATGTATAAATTGTTTCTTGCTTGTAAATTACACACACCTCCCTCTCTCTTCATCATCCTTTTTGCTTTTTCCTCTTGATTTTATTTAAATTCTTTGTCAACCCAGATACATACTAGCGAGGACCATGGAAGTTTGGAGGAAGAGTGGAACCTCATGCAGGCGCCTGTCCTTGACAGCATGATCCATTTCCATAACCAACTATTTGGATCTGTTGACCTTATTAGTTGTGTAAGTTAGACTATACTCTTTTATCTCTGGTTTTGAGTCCTCAACCATTTCATGCTATGTTATTGATGCTGTAGAAGTTTTTCAGCTGCACGAGGTTTGAACCTTGAGGGTGATTTTTTAACTACCAATAAAGGGAATACTTATATTTTATTAAGTTGAGTTGAGCACTCAAAAGTAGGATCATGATAGATCTTTGATTGTAGAACATGTTTCTAAAACAGAGTGAAAGGGGGTTAGTGTGTATCACGGGCATGTACCCAAGAAATATCTTTTCGTGTTTTATTTGTCTGAAGTCTTATCATGCAAGGTTTCTTGTCGTTACGCGTGTGTTTGAACACGCCCATGCTCATATGATGATGATAGCACTTCTTAATTGTTTTTACTAATAATTGCTTGATTTTCAGTTAGGGACTTTCCACATATCAGATACGGATAAATGCACTTCATTCATCAACTCTTACGATCTGGGAGCAAGCATGATTAGAGGTAATTTGCTGATTTACTTCCTTATTGATGCATGTTTTCAATATCACATCTAACAGACTTTTATTTCATAATCTCCAGGCTTGGGAGGTTTGTTTAGTTCCTCCCTGGATGCTAAACTTATTCCAGAACACATGTTTCGCCTTTGTTTGGATCGTGAAAGCAAGTGCCCGTCCATTCATAGAACGTCTAGCAAGTACAAATATTACAAGGTTCTCTGAATTCTGTTTTTATATTTACTTCTGACAAATTTAGATCTCGTTTCCTTAGATGTTATCAGCATTCTTGTTATCATATGTCTTTTCTTTATTGATATTTATTAGACTTCGTATGTATGACTCATCTCAACTGTATCACTTGACTGGTCCAGGATTCAAATGCTCCTAATCTAGCTAAAATGGTGAAGCTGCTGAGTGCACTTCAAGATAAAGTTGTTTCACTCCTAAATCAGTGGGAGGACCACCCTGGTCTTCAAAAAATATTGGATGCAGTTCAGTCACTGTTGGTTATTCCTATGGAAACACCGTTGGCCAAGGTAGCAGTCAACCAACACTATGTTCCATGCAAATATGATCCTGGACACAAGCAACCATGATTGACATTGCCCTCTTCTTATGAGATTTATTCCTTATTTGCAGGCTCTTTTAGGATTACAACTACTTCTTCGTAGGGTTATTGCTTTGCAGGAGAATGGATCAAAACTTTGTCTCTCTGGTACCCAACTTAGTGAAGACTGTTCATTTTGTTTATCTCTGAAAGTCGCTGTTTAAATGAGCTGTCAATTGTTGTGGTTAACACGTAACATTATCATATTTCTTTTGAGTGCAGATGAACTGGAACCTTTAGTTGCTTTGGCACGCTCGTGGCAAAAGATGGAAGTTGACTCATGGGCTGTGTTGTTGGACGAGGTGCAGGAGCAGTATGATACTAATGCTGCTAAGGTAAAGAGCAGCGTTTTTTGTTTGGGATGTGTTGGTAGCTCTGAAAATCTATTTATGTTTGATTCTAATTTCATATCTTCAAATTCTTTCTGCAGTTGTGGTTTGCCCTGTCTTCAATTTTCCACCGGAGTCATGCTGGTGAAGTTGCTGTATACGAGCAAACAACAATAGAAAGGCAGGCTTATTTCGGTTGTGTAGATTTCAGTGGTGCAGTGAACTCCAAAATGAAATGTTGACTAAGATTGTTATATATTGCAGCATCGAGAATTTCGTCCAAACTTCGAGCCTTGGAGAACTCCAAAAGCGACTCCAGTTACTATTGGCTTTCTATGGCCAAATTAGTGTTGGGAGGTGTCTAGAAGTAGACAGTTATGCAAGGTGGTTAGTCCTGCCTTTTCATTGGTTCCTGTACCTTTCCATTCAAGTTTTACTTTGTAGGGTGGTTGATCACCAACTGGAATTTAGTATCTACACAATATTGAGCTCTACTTTTTTGAAGAATTTTAATCATTGGCGATGTTTTACTGCTAAGCTTTGTAAATGCACTTGATTCTAATGACTGGACTGGGTTGTGCAGCTTGTTCCAGGAGAGTAACATGAAGATCTTATATAATGCCTTTGGATACTATGTTCAATTCTTGCCAAGGTTGAGTTTTTTTCGCATTTTTCATCCGGACTCATTGCAAGTGTATTCCATGATATTCTTACCTGCTCTGCTTGCCTAAAATATTTGTGTTGCTGGCAGAATATTGGAGCACATAGGTGCTAGTAGAAGAAATATCGAGAAGGAACTGAAAGATCTCACCGGATTATGTAGATGGGAGAAGACAGAGTTAAGCTTGTCTATTGAACAATCAAAAAGAGCGAGGCAGAAAGTGAAGAAGTTAATACAGAAGTACACTGTGAGTACCAAACTCTGAATTGGCCGCCTAATTACTTTTGCTAGTAGGGTCATCTTCTGTCTTTGCTATGCTCCAAAGTCATTTTTATGCACTTAAAGGTTTGCCTAATTTCTTTTTTCAAATGGACAGGACATCTTGCAACAACCTTTCATGCTCTTTCTTACTCGAGAAGCGGAACAGAAAGCAAGTGCTGCTCAACCTGAGCTGAGTATAAATGATCTCAAGGAGAGTTCGGAAAAGGGTTCTGTGACATTAAATACGATAGCAGATGAGATAGAGTCCAGGATTGATCATCGGTATGTATTTGTCCGTTTCTTCTGATTCTTTGCCATACAATCATCAATTGGTGATCCTTCTGTTATCTTGTGTTCTAAAATAGGCACACTTGGTTCAGTGATTGGAGTCAGAAGGTTGAAGCTTCACTGCACTTACTTGTTAGCATGTCTTCGGAATATAACCTTTCAATGGATGCAGGTTTTTCTATTACACTTCTATTTCCCTTGTCCCTTGGCCTTTTATCGTTTTAGCAAGATATATGTATATATACGGCTTCAGTGCTAGAAACCTAAGAACTTAGAAACTTCTACAGATACGTGCAGTGCTTCTTACCTTTCCGTAGAGGAAGAATGGAATGCTGTGAATCGTACACTTGAGGAGATATGTTCTGCTACTTTTAATTATGATGTCCTGTGGAAGGATATGGAAAGAACCGTAGGTAAAAGGCGGGCATTCGATGATTTACTTAAGCTTCTAGAATCCAGTGGGTTGGATAAGCACAAATTCGAGAAGGTAATTGGAAACTCCTAATGGTGGGCATTATGTTATCATTAATTTATTTGAAGCATAATTAGATCCTTCTAGTTATGATTCCTTTTGTGGTCTTGTAATTGATGCTTGTAGGTCTCCTATAAATCGGATTGGCTGTTTGTCCAGCCATCATTCGATATCAAACATTTGCTGCTGACACATAGTAGACTGCCTTCGAGAGATTCTAATCTTTCTTCCTCTATGATATTGGAAAGTTCTCCCAATGGAAGTTTGGAGATTGAGTGGAAAGTAACAAATGAGTTCTACTTTAAAGGCATTGCAGCTGTGCAGCTCCTGCGGCAGATATGTCTGAATCCTCATCAAGATATCATCCTGGAGAAGGTTGGTAGACGGATTGTATATATAAACTCAAAATGAGCAGCACTATTATGTAAGGCCAGATATAGCATTAAAAGTAATATGGTGACTATCAAATCACCTATTAAAGTATTATGGTGACTTTTACTAGTGACCATTTATTTCTCATTATTCTTAACAGTCTCATTAGTGTTAGTGTATGGCTTATTTATCCAAAAGATATTTTCCCGTAACGGTTTGTGTTTAATCTTTGCAGGCTAGGCGGGTGGGCTCATTTCTCAATCATCTCATAACTATCCAACATGAACAGCGTCAGGCAGCATATGATCTCTCCAAGAAATTAAAGTGCCTGCAGAAGTGTGTGTCAACAATGGAAACATTATATTTAAAATCCCTGGATGTCAATGACCAAACTAGTGTGATGTCCTCCATTCCTGAAAACCAGCGTGCAATCTGTAGTTGCATGTGGAAACAGAAGGCAAGTTGCATGAAGTGATATCTTCAAAATTGTGTCTTTTATTTCTAAAGGATTTTGGATAGTTATATGTTGTATTCTTTCACCATTTTGCAGGAACTATTGGATGCTCTGAGCTCCATGTTGATAGAGGAATCATTATTGCTTGAAACTCTGGAAACTGCTCACCTTCAATCTTGTGAAGAAGTGAAGCCTGCAGCAAATCATGTGCTTCAGGTCTTGGACAAGTTCATTCCACTGATCAAGAAGTCCAAGGTACTAAAAAGTTATCTTCTCGTGTTTCCCATCTTCTTTGAAGCAGGTTGCAGGTTGCAGGTTGTGGGTGTCTCATGTTTTACTATCTAACAGGAAACACTAGACAAGTATCTTTTGTCCCATGGCGGGATGGTGCAAATCGTTGTGGAGGGATCATTGGATAAATATATTCTTGGTCAAGTTGGTCATATATCTGAGGCTGGGCCTTTCTATCCTTATGTTGTATCTGGACAAATGACACAATCTCTCTTCACAAATTTCCAAGTCATTAGAGAGTTTGAAAACCATCTCCTTGATCTCCGCAAGCAAGGTTTAAGTAAAACGGCAGTCATAGAGACCTTGCTTTCTCACTTTAATGGTGTCTTTGAGAAGGTATTTTCTACTTTCCTTACAGGTTACTTTGACTTGAAGTCGAATACTACTAGTTTTAGTTAGCGTATTGACAAGATGCTGGGACTTAAAACCATTATTACAGGGGAAGTTGTTGGCTGAGGAGCTTGACCGCTCACTAAAGACTAGGGACGATTCAGTGAACATATCTGAAGCGTCTACTTCTTCTGAGCTCAACACTTTCTGGCAGTCCTTCGAACGAACGCTACAGCTAGCCAACAGTGCGATGACAAAGCAACAGTCTCTAAGCGATGGACATGTTATTTCCGAAGAGTCTATTGGGAGCATTACATCATGGGAATCTTTATTTAGATCATCCGTGGAAAATCTCAATTTGCCAGATCTATGTAAAAGTCTTCTACAAACCATTTGCAACAGCGTAAGTTTTGTATCTTTGCCTCACTTGAGAGTTTGTGTTGATAATCTTGGTAGTTTGGTCTGTATCTTATTTAATGTGGTCTTTGCATAGCAAAATCTGCTTAGCCAATCTGGTGGTACTTCTCGCTTGGGACGGTGTTTTGAGCAATTACACACAATTATGGATGTGGTCTTGAGTCTTGGTGACACGTTGCTTTCGGATCTTGTGGGGATGAACAGAACTGTGAGTTTTTACTTTTCCAAGTGTCGTTTCTTGCAATTATGTACTAATAGTCATGTTAATAGCAGTTTGTAACCCATGTTCTGCATTGTTTTATAGGTGTCCATAATGACTCGGGAATTGGCAGATGTTCTCGCTTCATTATTCTCCAAAGGCTTCCGTACCCCTTCGAAGGATGAGGTTGATGAGAATGGCGCTTCTCAAGATGTTAGTGGAACTGGCTTGGGAGAAGGTACAGGACGTAATGATGTCAGTGATGAGATAACTGACGAGGACCAATTGCTTGGAACGAAAGAAAAGGTGCAGCCTTTTCTGTTCCTTAACTTTGACCTCATTATTTCCTTGAAATGGTTGACTAGCGTGTTTACTTTTTTCATGTATTTAATCCAAACTCTAGCAGGAGGAAGACCAAGATGGCAGTGGTGAAGTTCCTAATAAGAATGAGAAAGGGATAGAGATGGAGGAGGACTTTGCTGCGGACACATTTAGTGTCAGTGAAGACTCTGGAGAAGAAGAGGAGAACGACGACAACGAGGAAGAAAAGCTGGACTCTGCAGTTGGAGATGCTGGACCGGACAGTGAGGCGGTCGATGAGAAGCTTTGGGACAATGAGGGAGACGAAAATCCTGAGGACAAGAAGGAAAAGTACGAAGCTGGGTCATCTGTCAAGGATAAAGATATGAGCAATAGAGAACTCAGAGGCAAGGATGATTCTACAGATATTCCAAACGAGGAATCCAAAGAGCTGAATGGTGATGATCTCAATAACGAGAAAGATGATGAGGGTGATGTGGATGAATCTGGTGATGGGGAAGAGAATGTGGAGGATATGAACTTGGATAAGGATGAAGCACATGCTGATCCTACTGGGCTTAACGTTGATGATGACGTGGATCGACCTGACGAGGAGGAGATGGAGGTAGATGAGAACTCAAATGAGACAAAAGACATGAGTTCTGGTGAAGAAGAAGGTTCGGAGAATGGCGAGGAGGATAAAACAGAGAGTGGAGATGACGAGACTATGCAAGATGCAGATGCTGGACAGTCCGCTGGGGCTCCTGAAGAAAAGCTGGAGCATGGTGCTGATGCCGAAGACAACTCTGCTGAGATGAATGCACAGAGTAAGGACGAGCTTGTACCTGGAATGCCGGACCTTAACGGCGAGCAAGCGCCCAATGCAGAATCCGCAACTCAACCGAATGGGGAAGTTCAGGCATCAGATTCTAGGAGTGTGCCTACTGAGGCGAACGTTTACAGCTCTAATGCCAATGTTGCTCCATTGAGGAACGTGCCTTCCGGTGCTAACTCAACATGGAGATCATGGTCTCTGACCCATCAGATAAGGGGCAGCTAAACGGGGATCAGAACAACGCCCAACCGCCTGAGGAAGAGTCTTCGTCGTTTAAGAAATCTCAACCCAATCCTTATAGGAGCATTGGAGATGCGTTTGAGAAATGGAAGGAACGGGCGAAAGTGTCAACTGATGATATAGCTTCAGAGGCTCCCCCTGTTGAGATGGAGGATAAGAATGCCAACGAGTATGCTTACGTGTCAGAGGCGGAGAGAGGGATGGAACAATCATTAGGACCTGCGACTCCTGATCAGGTTGATGCCAACATCTCGGGGAATAAGCAGGAGGATAGTTCTGCTGCAGGTCAAGAGGAGGAAGATGGCACAAATGAGACTGAAATTGATAGGAATCTTAAACCTTCCTCGGCGGCTGTGTTGAAAGATAAGATGGAGCAGCATTTGCAGGTTTCAGAGGTTGGAAAGTCGAAACAAGCAGAGGAAGATGTTGAGATGCCAGATTATAATACGCACACCGAAGTGGGAAGTTCATTGCAGAATCTGGTCTCGGTCAGGAATCCGGCAGCGCTGAGTGATGGTGTCAGTCGTTTTGATGAGCTGGCGATTGGTGATGACAGTGAGTTGGGGAAAGCGGTGGATGGAGATGCTGTGAATTTAAATATCAGGGAAGGTACTGGTGATGCGTGGAGGAGGTATGAATTGCGTACTACAAGGTTGTCTCAGGAGTTGGCTGAGCAGTTACGTCTTGTTCTGGAGCCCACGGTGGCCAGCAAGCTTCAAGGCGACTATAAGACCGGGAAAACGAATCAACATGAAGAAGGTAATTTATCATCTTAAGCAATTGCAAAACTATGCAGGTGCAGTTCTGTTGGGCTGTTTATTGTTTCTCTTTCTAACTCTTTCCTGCAACTGAGTTCAGGTGATTCCATATATTGCAAGCCACTACCGTAAAGACAAGATTTGGCTGAGACGGACTAGACCTAACAAGCGTGATTACCAAGTTGTTATTGCGGTGGATGACTCGCGTAGTATGTCAGAGAGTCGCTGTGGGGATGTTGCAGTTGAAGCTCTGGTTACAGTATGCCGTGCCATGTCTCAACTTGAATTGGGCAACTTTGCTGTCTCAAGCTTTGGAAAGAAGGGGAACATCAGGTTGCTGCACGACTTTGAAAGGCCATTTACTGGAGAGGCAGGGCAAAAAATAATTTCCAGTTTGACGTTTAGCCAAGAGAATACCATCATCGATGAACCAGTTGTGGATCTGTTGAAGTACCTAAGCAACTTGCTAGACACTGCAGTTGCGAGGGCTAGGCTTCCTTCTGGACAAAACCCACTGGAGCAGCTTGTCTTGATTATTGCAGATGGTCGGTTTCATGAAAAGGTACAATTCCTTTTAAGCTTAGTACACACTGAACTCTCAGCATCCATTTCACGATAGCTTATGGAATAGTTGTCCAATCCTGTAAACAGGAGAAATTGAAGCGCTGCGTCAGAGACTTCTTAAGTCAGAAGCGAATGGTTGCATTTCTGCTGTTGGACAATCCTGAAGAATCTGTCGTTGATCAATTGGTAAGTGCTTCTACTTTTCGTATTGAAGATGCTAAACTAGTCCTTTGCTTGTGGTAGAAGAATGAATCCATCTGATGCTCCGACATTCTGTCCCTCGATTTTATGGTTATCAGGTGGCGACGTTCGTGGATGAAGGCGACAAGAGTGGGCTCAAGATGGCAAAGTACATGGATTCTTTCCCTTTCCCATACTACATTGTGCTGAGAGACATCGAAGCTCTTCCAAGAACCCTCGCAGATCTACTAAGACAGGTACATCAACAAATCCGCACAGAAAAGATGGTTCCCCTTTTTTCTACTTGAGCTAATTTGTGTTCAATGTTGCCTTGTACTTCAAGAAATGTGCGCGGACTGACTTTCTTGTCAATGGTTTACTTTGGATGTTGCAGTGGTTCGAGATTATGCAGTCCTTCAAGGAGTAGATTGTTCGTGGGGGTCTAGCTGGTGGGAATTGCGAAGGGAGGTCTTTGGTTATAAAGTATAGGGCACCTTCTCTTCTTTCATTCTTTATCGCTGATATCGAGTGTAATTAGGCAGCCAATCGTAAGATAAACTTGTATGGTTTGCCTTTTTTGGTAGTGTAAATATTCCTACATTCTAAATGAGTAACGGATTCCCTCTCCTTCAGCGAGGAAGTTTTGCTTCACTTTCAAATGAGTGCTTTCGCGAATCTCATGAGAGACGGGAGGTGGGATCAGCCGTATCTTGTCCTTAGATTTAAACACATTAAGACTAACCTCAACCATAAAGTTAAATTTGGCTCTCCCAATATTCAAATATGGCTTTTTAGCTTACCAAATCTCATTTTCACTCCAACCCTACAAATCCTATTTTCACTCTAACCCTACAAAAAGCTAAATTTAGCTTCCTATCTTCCTTTTTTCAATTTATTTCAATAAACCATACTTATTTGATTTCTGATTTTTATATTTTACTTTAATTTTTTTTGGGTAAATGCCCAAAAATAGCCAATGCTTAAGGGTATCTGATACATCCTCCAATAACAAGAGCAATGCCGGGTCGGCCTAAGAAGAAAAGAAGCCGGTGAACTTGAGGCATGAGTTGAAAGAACTGGTTCTGGTGTGGCGATGAGAAGAGATGGTATGGTGATGCATTGTAAAAAATGCAAGAAAGGGGGACATAACTCAAGAACATGTCCAAATCCACGAGCTACAGAAGCTGGCCAAGGTGGAGAACCGCTAAGAGGGCAGCGGGGTGGGCGTGCGCGAGGCAGTGGGCTGCGAGGTGGCCGCGCACGAGGAAGTGGACAAGAAGGATCAAATACAGAGGCCAACTAATAGAGATTTGACACCGTGCAAGTGCCTGCAACTCAACCACTAGAGTGATGGACTCTTTAGCAGAATTTGCAGCTTAATTAGTAGACACTAATTAGAAAAACAGAATTTAGTTTCATCGATATGGCTGGATTGTCTTTTGTTTTGTCGAAGCAACTATTGTTTTGTCTTTTGTACAAGCTCATTCTGGATAATTTCCAGTACACTATATGGAAATACTTTTCCAGGTGCATGAATGTATGTTTGCGTTGTGATCTTATTCCCCTTGAGAAGTTGTCAATTTAATTACTTAGTTATAATGATTCTAATTGTTAACAGAGCTGAAAAATTAGCTACTTCGTCACCTATAGAACATACTTAATGCTTCAATTAATTTAAAATACATCTTTTTTGCTTTACCCATTATTAAAAGAAAAAATATAAAAATTACGGTTTTCTAATTTGAAAAAAGGCTGACGTGGACTAAAGCTGACATGGATAATGATGTGGCGATGATGTGTCAGCCACGTCATCATAGTTAACTGTGAATTAACGGATGGCTAAGAATTGTCTAACAGAATCAAAGTTTTGGCTATTTTATTGCATTTTAAATAGTTTTGGCTATTTATGTCGAAAAGTTAAAAGGTTTGGCTATTTTATGGCATTTACCCATTTTTTTATAGTTAGTCATTACTTTTGGGGGAAAAAATTGATGTATTTTTTTTAATTCTGAGACAAAAAAAAGTTTCAGAAAAGCAATCATTATTTTGTTATCATTAACTTCCGTACCAATGAGAAAATACCAATTAACATACAACATTCCATATCTTCTTTCAAACAATTAAACAAACAACATACACAATCAACCAATGACAAAATACCACACAAAAAAAGCAAAAAGAAAAATAAACACAGTAAACCAATGAGAAAATTCCACCGAAAAAAGCAAAATATAAAAATAAAGGAGGACCGGCCGCGGGTTCACCATTTCCTCTAGCCAAATTTGGCTTTTCCACCCATTTGGAAGGAGACCAGATCAGGTCAGTATCCTTGCTATCAGTAACTGTCAGTAATCCAATCATGTGTCCTCACGTGTCAGCTTTTTCTTTTTATTTAAATTAAACACGGAGGGACACTTAAGGTAAAATTGCACCCCCTATTTAATGATGTCTCTGACACGCTGACGCTGACGCGACGCGGATCCCACTCCCCACCCCACACTGGTTGTCTGGTTCCCCCTTTCTCTCACTCTTTGTTTTATTTTATTATTAAAAGAAAATATATTATTTCTTGTATAACTTGGTAAACCACGCTACAGAAAATTATAAATCTAACTAGCATACAATACCGCCATAGTAGAACATGGTAAATCAAAGGACCACAAATTAATTATAATTACCATATAATACCACATGGTATGAGAAGGTAAAACCATGTAAATCTAATTACAACCCTCTACGACCATAGTAAAAACATGATATTCATAAAAATACATTTCGTTACCATGCATTACCATATGATATTGACACATTGCCATATGGTATAGTGTGGTAATCTCAATATATATATACAATTACGACTTTCTTCACTTTCTTCTCTCCCTTCATTGTCTTCTAACTCTTCTTTCTCGGAACTGGTGTCGATTACCACCCACTACCACCATGATAAAACTCGTGACTATAAAAATACACTTAGTTAGCACACATTACCATATGGTATAGTGTGGTAATATCAATATATATTCTCAAAGAAAGGGAAACAGAAGGAGGAAGAGGGAAAAAATTCGTCTTCTGTCTCCTCTCATTTACTCCTCTGCAATGAAGAACACCGAATGTAAAAAGAAAGAAAAAGAGGAAGAAGATCGGAATTAATTCACAAACAAATACTAAAACACAAAAGATGCAAACTCAACTCACCTAGATCTGCCCCCTCTTTGACAATATGGAGCATCATCGATTCTGAGGCCGAGAAAAGAAAAAAAACAGAAGGAAGGAGCAGCTTGAGAGAAGAAGGATTTGGAGCGTCACTGAATTTGAAGTGGGAGGCTGCAATTTCTTCCTCGATTGTTGGAAAGAAAAATGAAGAACAAGAGAAGAAATGAGATTTAGATCTGAAAAAAGAATTTTGGAAGAGAGAAAGGAAGAAATAAAGAGAAAAGAGAGAGGAAGAAAGAAGTCTGATTTTTCTCTTTCCTCCATTAAAAGACAACACATATAAATGCTGGAAAAAAATAAAAAAAAAAAGGAAAAAAATCAAATTTCAAAAATCGGACAAAAATGCCCCTCCTCACTCCACGTGCAGCCCAGCAATATAATAATGCCATCCCTAGATCTACGGTCCGGATTTAATACTGACAGGTCAGTAACCAATGGTTACTGACTCTATCCTCTGCCATTTGGAAGCTAAATTTGGCTCCCAATTCACCAATACCCAATTTTATCTCCCCAAAATTATGTGGGTTGGAGCACCAAAAAAAAGCCAAATATGGGTAATTGGCTTTTTAGCTCTAGGGTTGGAGTTAGTCTAATATAATGGTTAAAAAATCGGAAGAGTTTTTTAATTAGTCATAGGTCTTTCAAGGTTTACAAACAATATGAAAATAATATAAAGCATACGAACTATACTAATAATACAAACTATACAAAATAGAAAACCAACAAAGTAAATTTTTTAGGTTTCGACTTTATATAGAGGTAGGGGTGGAGGTTGGTTACTTTCGGTTATAACCGGTAACCGATCGGTCGGTCATCCGAAAGGTCGGTCCCCCCAATCGACAACCGACCAAAATAGGCTTCAGACACCTTGGTTATCGGTTAACCGCACCTCCTCCAAGACCAAAACCATCTCGTCCAGCCTTCGACAACCGACCGAATTTCGGTTATATCGGTTACCAGTTAGTGGATAATAAACATACAAACTATACAAATTACATTTGCAGACCATACTAACTAAATTTACAAACAATACAAACATACAAAATGGATATACAAACAATACAAAACATACAAAATGGAAAACAACATGGTTAACTTTTGAGCTTCGTCCCTATATAGAGGAATTTCGTACCAAAGTCAATCAGGTTATCTTTTAGTCATATAAACATTACAAACATGTTAGACAAAAATGACGAAGCATACACACATTACAAACAAAATCGACAAACGTTACCAAAATGACAGCCTACAAACATTAAAAAAAGAAATTGACAAACATTACAAAATATACTAATCGTACAAAATACCAATACCTACAATAAAAATCAGTAAACTTGTATTACAAACAATATATGCAAAGTATACAGATAATGAAATAAAGTGTACAAACTAAACAAAAAAAATTACAAATTACGATATATACAAATTAGTTACATACATGACAAACTAGAATGATAAACGGTATAAACCGAATTGATATAATCTTTACAAATGGTACTTAGAAACATTACATAACAGTTAGACAAACATCACAAATTCGGTGTTGCCGCCAGAAAATCCTCTGCGGACGTCAGAAACATCTCTCTCTCTCTCTCCATTAAATTAGACCCATTTGGAACCATTTTATTTAAATGAAGTTGAAAGGTTGAGATTCACTTAGTCATATGATCCTAGCCTTGAGAGATGGTGCCATCGAGCCGAGCCAGTTGGCTTGAGAGTTGAGCCATTGCAGCTTCAAACTCGAAGAAGCCCAAAAATCACATATATGAAAAACCCATATTGTCATCTTCCTCTGTGAACGAGGATTCTCCGTCGTCTTCATTCTTGAAATCTGTTTCGCGGTTTTAAGGAAAAAGGAGGAAGGGTTAAAGAGTGTTGGGTTCGTCGAGAAGAAGGAAAGAGGAAGGATTAGAGTTGGAACAACAAACACAAAGTGAAAAATTTCAAAATAGTTGCCCTACTAGCTGAAATCCTTGAAGCGTAGGTTTTCAAAATTTTCGATAGTTAAAATCCATCAATTTTTTCTTAGCCTTCCCAAATGTAAAAATATATTGAAATTCATGAAGGATAGGGATTGTAGCAAAATCATTCCTAAATTTCCTAATTCAAACAATCACTTAAACAGTTTGGCAAATACCAAAGTGGGTACACCAAAACCCTAAAAACACAAAAACTGATGAGCGCCGCCGGCGACCAGCCGGCGGCAGCGCCAGAGACCCTGAGCAAACAGCCCCCACCGGCTCAGGTCTCTTCGCCGGTGCAAGCGGCGAAACGGACGAAAACTCTTGGTGACGGAGGGTTCACAGGAGAGGGAGCGATGGTGGTCGAGCAAACTATTATCCTGGAGAACCTCAAGAAGGAAACAAGTACCTCCCGGACATCGACACCTTCGATGGATGGGACGCCTGTGCTAGCTGGGAACGTGGCGACTACCACCGCGCCGGAGAGGCTGCCAAACCAGCCGCTCTCCTATAAGGAGACGGTGCTCGGAGCTCGGAATGGAGGATCAGATGAAGACGCGGGGGAGGATGAGGAAGAGATGATCGATAGCGATGGTGAGGGTGAACCGGACTGCCCTACTGTGAAAATTCCACAGGGCTTCACCAAGCGGTGGCGCCAACGATGGAAACTTGCCCTCGTCGTCCGCGTCCTAGGCCACTCGTTCCCCTTTCTTTTCCTGCAACGTAGACTGCAGACCATGTGGGCATGCACAGGACCAGTAACAATAGCGGCGATGGGTCAAGGATTCTACTCTGCTCGGTTCAGCACCGAGCATGATTATGAAAGAGCTCTGAATGGGGGGCCGTGGATGATCGAGGACCATTATGTTCTCACGAGGATGTGGAGGCGCGGGTTTGAGCCGGGGGAGGAGGAACTGACACATACATTGGTTTGGGCACGGTTGCCTAAGTTACCAATGGATTATTACGATGAGGAACTCTTGAGGAGTATAGGAAACTCGCTGGGAATGTTTATCAAGATGGATGAGGCCACAAGGCTAGCGATCAGAGGGCACTTCGCTAGAATATGTGTCGGGGTCAACTTGGCGAAACCCTTGATATGCAAATACCGCCTGGAAAGGAGAACACGCCGAGTCGAGTATGAGGGTTTACACAAAATTTGCTTTGAATGTGGGCGCTATGGGCATGAGAAAGAAGTGTGCCCATCAAAAATGCTAGATGCACCCACGGAAGAAGATTTCCATAGAGTGCAGGTTCCAGCCAATAAGCTTACCATTGAGCAGGAACGCCCGGAGATATATGAGAGCTACGGGCCATGGATGATAGCAACCAAAAACCGAAGGCGGCAACCGTCTAACCGCCCTGTCAGCCAAGCAACACAGGTGGAGAAAGTAACGCCGGGGGCGACATCCGGATCGAGGTTTGCAGCCTTGGATGACCTGAATGATGAGATGAGGGAAGATGTGAGAATTCTTGAGAAGGCTACAGTAGAAGTGGAGGTTGAAGCAGCGGCAGCTGCGTCGTCGAGGGTGGTTGTGGGGGAAGAGGTAGAGGCTACTGAGACAATGAAGAACTCGGGTCGTCGGGAGGAGCCGGCGAAAGCCAAAATACGGGGAACGAAACAAATGAAGGAAGGAGTTGGCCACAAACAACCATCCCTGGCGAGCACTAGGGGGCGAAGCCAATGAACCAGTCCCAAGCTAGGAAGGGACAGGATGTGGGGGAGACTAGGCTGGGGAAAGGAGGCAATGTTTCATCACAACAGCAGGGAAACACAAAGACATCGGTCGAGAGGCAGTTGAAGCCGCTGGAGAACAAGAGGGCTTCTCCGATCCAGCCTCAAAAAGGCATGAGATAGGCTACCCAAGGGTCGGTCAAAACCGCTATGGCGATCGGGAACTCATCTCCAACAAGTGGGAGGCCGGTGGCTCGCAGCCTCGACCTGAACATGGCAGTGAACACATCACCAGGAGCACAGGCTCCGAGGATAGAGAAACCCATTCCGGAGACAGGGACCCATACCTTGTCTGCGATGGATGTGGAAAAGGCTTGAGCTCCTCTCTCAGGGAAGTCTCTTTGTCATTATCTTTGTTTAATTTGTGTGTCTTTTGCTGTTTTCCATTTTAATCTTAGTGTAATGGTTAAAATTTTTGCTTGGAACTGCCGTGGGGCTGCTGACCCCGACTTCTTATTACATTTTCATGAGTTCAAGAGAATTCACAGGCCTAATATTGTGTTCATCTTTGAACCCAGGATCAGTGGCAGGAACGCGGATACTGTGATTCGAAAGATGGGATATGATATGAATACCCGGGTAGAGGCCAGAGGCTTTACAGGGGGATCTGGGCCCTCTGGAATCCCAGCGAGACTGTAGTGAGTGTGGAGGATACTATGGACCAAATGATTCTGCTTCGGTTCAGGATGGAGACAGTTGCAGGCAGCACAAGCAAACCTATTCTCCTCACTGGGGACTTCAATGCGCTGCTAAACAGGGGTGAGAAGCAGGGTGGGGGTGGGTTCAACTTCGCTGCCAGCCGAGAGTTCAGGGCGGTGATGGAAGACTGTGGACTTGTGGACCTCCCCTTCATGGGCCCACAGTTCACTTGGAGCGGTGCTAGAGGATGAAAAGAGCGACTGGATAGGGCGGTGAGCTGTACGCGTTGGCTGCAGCAATTTCCGGATACAGTAATCTCCCATTTTCCTAGAGTTAAGTCAGATCACCGGCCTATTATTACGTCCACCGAACGCCCATGCATGCAGAAGAAGCTTCAGAAACCCTTCCGCTTCCTTTCTCCCTGGCTCCTTCATCAAGATTTTGACCGTGTTCTTCAGCAGGGTTGGGGTAAAGGAGCAGAATATGAGGATAGACTGCTACACCTCACCGCAGACCTCAGCGCCTGGAATAAGAAAGTCTTCGGGAATATTTTTGCGCGGAAGAGGAAGCTCCTTCGCCGCCTGGGAGATCTGGAAAGCCGAAATGAGCTAAATCCCACCCAGGCAAACTTGACACATGAAGAAAGAATCAGAGGGGAGTTGCAAGCAGTGCTCAAGCAGGAGGAAATCCTGTGGTACCAAAAATCTCGAGCTCAGTGGTTCACCAAGGGAGATAGCAACACGAGGTATTTCCACCTTTCAACCCTCAAACGAAGAAGTTTCAACAGGATCAGGAAGCTGAGGAATAGAGCGGGTGATTGGGTGGAGGATACTATAGCATTGCAGAACATGGTTCGGGACTTCTTCATGGGGTTGTACCAGGAAGACCCAAACTTGGCTGACCTGATTCCGGCTAAGTTCCCTCTGATAGAGGACTCCATGGCGGGGTTGACCCTGGATATAACACCGCAGGAGGTTCTTGATGCGCTGAAGGCAATGGGTCCCCATAAGGCACCCGGAAAGGACGGATTCCACCCTATGTTTTTTCAACGATGCTGGAGCACGGTCGGTGAAGCTCTTTCACAGTTCATCATTGGCTGTTTCAGAAACCCCGGTCTGATCGCTGCGGTTAATGAGACCTTGATCACTCTTGTTCCGAAAAAGCTTAACCCCTCCTCTGTTGCAGAGTTCAGACCAATCAGCCTTTGTAATGTCTCCTATAAAGTGTTTACTAAATGTTTGGCAAACAGGCTCAAGTCGTGGATGACGAAGTTAGTGAACAAGACGCAGACGAGCTTCGTCCTGGGGAGGAGCATTCAGAGTAACAACATCATCTTGCAGGAGGTGGTGCACACGATGCAAACGCGGAAAGTAAAGAGGGGGGATATGATCCTGAAGATAGACTTGGCAAAAGCGTATGACAGGATGGATTGGAGCTTCATTGCCAGTACCCTGGTGGCGGCGGGACTACCGGACAAGTTTACTCAAGCTGTAATGGCCTCCATTACCTCGACTTCCTTTGAGGTGCTATGGGATGGAGCGTGTACAGAGTCCTTCTTACCTTCTAGAGGCCTACGACAGGGCTATCCGCTATCGCCATATATTTTCACTCTGTGCATTGAACGCTTATCTCATATGATATTGGACCTGGCAGCAGAGAAGAAGTGGAAACCCATCCAACTCGTGAGAGGGGGAGTGGAACTAACCCATTTATTCTTTGCTGATGATCTTGTCTTATTTGCAGAGGCTAGTAAAGAACAGGCAGAGGTGATATCGCAGTGTCTTAACGTTTTTTGCCAAGGATCTGGTGAGATGGTAAGCCGCGAGAAATCAAGGATCTTCTTCTCCAAGCATTTGAGCCGCGACCTATGCAAGGAGATTAGCGACCAACTGGCCATCCCGGTAACACAGGATCTTGGTCGATATTTGCGCGTCCCGGTCCTGCATGGCCGCGTGACTAAGGCTACCTACCAGTATGTCATCGACAAAATTGACCAGCTCCTTGCAGGATGGAAAGCTCAAAACCTCTCTCTGGCGGGACGGGTGACGCTGGCGCTCTCGGTTCTTAACGCCATCCCTTCATATGTGATGCAGACAGCAGTACTACCAGCGGGAATCTGTGACTACCTTGATCGCAAGATACGCGCTTTCATCTGGGGCTCGCAGCAAGGGCGTCGACGGATCCATCTTGTTGACTGGGAAACGGTCTGTCTGCCGAAGGACCAAGGATGACTTGGACTATGGATGGCTAGGGAGCTTAACAGCGCCTATTTCCTGAAGTTGGCTTGGGGCATTCTGAAGCAGCCAACGGAGCTATGGGTTAGGGTGCTAAAAGAAAAGTATCTTAAGGAAGGACCTACGGGTGTGGAGTTAAGGAGGAAGACACGTTGTTCTCAGATATGGAGGGGTGTTCGTCGCGTTTGGGGCCTAATGCTAGAAGGGGTGAGCTGGAGTGTGAGGGATGGGCGTTCCACCCTATTCTGGGATGATAAGTGGGTGGATGGAGGCACTGTGCTAGCAGAGCACGCCTGGACGAGCAAACCGGGCTTCCCAGCTGGCGCGACAGTCGCGGATATGACCACGAAGTCAGGTGAGTGGAACATCCATTTGATTGAACAGTTCTTACCTAGTGATCTATGCTTGCAGGTTATAGGGATGGCGCCACCGAAACAGGACTTGGGAGAGGACGAAATCGTGTGGGGCTTGGAGGAGAAAGGCAACTTTACGCTACGTTCGGCGTACCAACTTGCAGCCGACGTGGATGGAAGCGTGACACACCAAGGATGGCGCGATGTTTGGAGATGGCCGGGACCGAACCGGGTGCTGCACTTCCTTTGGCTCATGTCCCATGGCGCGCTGCTCACCAACGCGGAAAGGCAACGACAACATCTAACTCCCTCCAGCAGATGCGCTCGCTGCAAGGAGGCGGACGAGACTCCGGAGCACACTTTCCGGACGTGCAAGTACGCCCAACAAGTTTGGAGGCAGACCGTCCCGGACGCAGCTTCACCGTCGGATCGTAGAAGCCTCAAAGATTGGTTCTTTCATTTCCTCAAGCATCCCGCGAAGCAGGTTCGTTTTGGCTTTACCTGCTGGTTCTTATGGCGCTCGAGGAATGACTATGTCTTTTCAGCCATTGAGGAGCCCTCTAGTAAGTTATCGCAAAGGATCCTAGCCTGGGAGATCATTGCGCAAAAAAGTAAGGCAGCGGAACAAACCATTTCACTGGGGAGGTCGGGACTGAGTCGAGACGTGGTTGTTGGGTGGAGACCAGCCCCGACAGGGTGGATCACAGTGAACTCGGATGGTTCGCTTCTGCGACCGTCCGAGTCTACCGCTGCAGGTGGTGCGCTTAGAGATGGGCAGGGTCGCTTACTAGGGGCTTTCTCAATGAATCTGGGAAGATGTACCATTACTCGAGCGGAGATCTGGGGTGCTCTTCGTGGACTGCAGATGGCGTGGGATTCTGGTCACAGAAGGGTCGAGCTACAGCTAGACTCTATCACAGCCATCAGTCTCCTATCGCCAGGCTCGCCAACCAACCACCAGCATGCTAACCTAGTCATCCAGTTTAGGGAGCTACTGGGAAGGGACTGGGAGGTGGTCATACGTCACATATATAGGGAGGCTAACTTTTTAGCCGACTGTCTTGCGCATAAGGGTCACCTGTTAGACCCTGGAACTTGCTCTGTTACCTGTATGGATCCGGATATTGAACGTTGGCTCCTGTATGACTCGGTTGGCGGTTTTGTAGTCCGCGAGGTTAATTAATTGAGGTTGTGGTGCTTGCACCTTTTTTACCAAAAAAAAAATACCAAAGTGGGTAGGGGTGGTAAAGTTTGGCCGATTATCGGTTAAAATCGATAATCGAATTGATAAAGATGGTTAGTGGCTAACTGATAATTTATTAGAGATTCAGTTTCAGTTAGCTGTGTTTTGCTTAGTGGTTAACCGTTATGTGACTAATCGGTTAGTGGTTAATCGATAAATGCGTACTAGTAAAACCTACTTCCAAAATAAATTACAAGTAAAACCACATAATTTTATGTTTTGGCTTAGGAGAAAAGTTTCATAATTCAAAACCAACCACTTTCGCAATTCCAAACATCTCAATTCTCACCTATTGTAAACAACCCTCCACCCAAATTCTCAATTTTGTTTTGAGTTAGAATCGGAAAGTCACCCCTCTCTGATTCCCCTTTGTAATCGACAGAGTAACATTGCACCCTAGTGATCTTTGTTTCTTTGATTTTTGTAAATGATGGTGATCTTATGGTGCTTTTGTTTGATGACTTGATAGTTGGTATCCGCTAACTGGATAAAGATGTTTAATTATTTAATTTTATTCGTTGGAATTGGATTATGAATTCACAATGAATATTGTATTATATTGATGTTATTTCTTACATTAACGATGTAGAAATGTAGTTACATGTTTTTAAATTATTCATATGATTATTAAAAAAAATGACATCGTACAAAATTTCAAAATAACAATCACATGTGTATGTTGTTATTGGTTAATGATTAACCGCCAAAATAACCATCAACCGAACCGATAACAAGTAATTAACCAAAAAGTCTTATCAATTCAATTTTTACTATGCATTTTATGCTTAGTGATTAACCCAAACCAAACCGATTAACGTTTCAATCTACGGGCCTATATTTTCTTCTTTTAGTTCAGCTAGTAGATTACTCTTGTTGGTCCAATATATTGGCCCAGCTCAAACGGAGCCCAGGCATTCTCTCCCCAAAATTTGGTCCGACGTCATACGTGGGTCCCGCCATCATCAACATTCAGTTTGTCCTTTCTTGTGGATTCCACTGAACGACTGTCGTCTTTCTTCTGATGGCTCCAAAAACAAAAACAAAAAAAGTTCCACCAATTTCTCCCCTCCCTTTACCTCCGTCTACCGCACCACGGCCAAGCCAAATGCGAATTTAAAAACACTGAACGAGAATTCCCACAACTAACCAGCATTCCCTCCGGAGCGCAATCAACCAGAGTTCCGCACCCGAACACCATCGGACGTCCGGTCATGTGGCGACGAAACTTCAGCACCGGCGCGGCCGCCTCTCGCGCACTAACCGGTAAGAAATTTGACGCTCTGGTGATCGGCGGCGGCCACAACGGCTTGACTGCCGCTGCCTACCTTGCTCGAGCCGGCCTCTCCGTCGCCGTGCTGGAGCGCCGTCACGTGCTCGGCGGCGCCGCCGTCACGGAAGAGATCATTCCAGGATTTAAATTCTCTCGATGCAGTTACCTCCAGAGCCTCCTCCGGCCTTCCGTCATCAAGTAATCGCCGAAATTGTCAACTCCTCTCTCATTTTGCCATGTACTAGATGATATTTTTTGTTAGCTGAAAGTATCGAATCGTTTGCGATTGAGAGCAGAGAGTTGGAGCTGAAGAGACATGGATTGAAGCTGCTAAGGAGAAGCCCGTCATCGTTCACGCCGTGTGTGGATGGACGCTATCTTCTGTTGGGACCTGATAAGGAGCTCAATCGCTCTGAAATCTCCAAGTTCTCTAGTCGCGACGCGGAAGCTTATCCAAGGTGCCAATGGTGTCCCTCTTTTTGCCCTCCAGTTTGAAACTAATTGAGAAACACAAGTCCTTTATTCCCAGATTTATCGATTGCTGATATGCAGATATGAGAGCCAACTTGAAAGGTTCTGTGAGTTCATGGATCCACTCTTGGACGCACCTCCTCCAGAATCTCTGCAGAATACTTCATCAATCGCTGATCGATTGAAGGACAAACTGCACAAATCCGCTTACTGGACTCGTTTCTTGCGGAGCGGTCTCTCCTTGGGGCAAAAGGATTTAGTGTAAGATCAGATCACCTCACTGTTTTGGCTCTCGTCTAGTTAGCTTGAATAAGTTGATTATGATGCTTGATATGTGCTTCGAATTCGACAGCGATTTCATGGACCTTCTGCTGGCCCCGGCTTCAAAAGTTCTAAATAACTGGTTTGAGGTAATCAGAATGTTTATGTTGTGCTCAACGTTCAACGTTCATCCGTCCTGAGTTTAGTAATTATGCTGAACACTTGACGATAAGATACTATTAGTCTTTATCGGCTTGTTGACTTTCTGCCACTTCATTATAGGCAGAGGTTCTAAAGGCGACTTTGGGAACGGATGCTATTATAGGTACTACGGTAAGACTCCACCAACGTGGAGATGTATTTAGTTTAATATTGAAGAGAATCCTCATTAGACCTGTTATTGTTGACCAATTGAAGCATTTGGAGTTATATGTTCCAGGGTAGTGTCCACACACCAGGAAGTGGATATGTTCTGCTACATCATGTGATGGGAGAAACCGATGGGGATCGTGGAGTTTGGTCGTATGTATTGTAGTTGGTTATTCGACCAATGACTGCTTCGATCAGTTTCAATGAAAGATACTAAAAAACTTACCTCCTTATTGTAGGTATGTTGAAGGAGGAATGGGTTCAGTATCCCTTGCTATAAGTAAAGCTGCTAAGGAAGCTGGCGCTCATATTTTGACAAATGCAGAGGTAACATTTTGTGGAATATGATAGTGACATGAGTCCTCCACTTCAATGTTTATGAATAACTATGCCTTGGTACTTCTTTCCATTTTGCTGGATGAGTGGTTAGCTATTCTTCTAGCAGAATATTTTTTGCTTAAAGCTGGAGTGAAAGCAGAGTTAGTGTGTTACGAGAGAACTTACTGCTCTCTTTTTGGCATAGGTTTCACAATTAATCGTCAACGACTCTGGTGCAACTAGTGGGGTTTGTTTCAATTTTGGACCCTGTTAATGAATTGGCTCAAGGGAAGGATTTCAAAACTAATTGGAGAGATGTTGAATGTTGGTGTTATTTAGGTGGTGCTGGCTGATGGTACAGAAATACTCTCTTCAATGGTTCTTTCAAATGCTACGCCTTACAAGACCTTCATGGTATAAGCCTTTCGCTCATCAACATCTGTTATAATTATTTAGTTGAAGGAAATAGTTGCCTAATTGTCACTTTTTGGGCGAGTAGGTTATTACAATATGTTATGCTTTTTTTATCCCAGGAATTAGTGCCCAACAATGTTCTTCCAGATGAATTTACCAGTAATTTGAAGCATTCTGACTATAGCTCTGTAAGCATACCACTTGGGTAATTTTAGGTTGTTCTGGAGACTTGTATATTCCTGCCTTTTTTATTTGGACTCTCTTATTTGGTGTTCCCACAAACTGATAAGGCAACTACAAAAATAAACCTGGCTGTTGATGAACTACCCAAGTTTGAAAGTTGCAAGTTGAGCCATCCTGATGCAGGGCCTCAACATATGGGCACTATTCACATTGGTTCAGAGAGGTATGATATTTGCTTGAGAATTATTAGTCTTCATCCTTGTGTTATCCCAGTACAAAATCCTTATAAAGTTTAACCTACAGGGAGAATTGATAGGAAGATTAGTAATTTAGATTCATCCTTTAGGCCTTCATTTAAAGCCCATATTGAGAGGATTATTGATATTTTGTTTTTTGTTTTTTCTGCTTTGATCAGAATGGAAGAGATAGATTCAGCCTGCCAGGATGCTGTGAATGGAATACCATCCAGAAGACCAGTTATTGAGATGACAATTCCTTCTGTTCTGGACAAAACCATTTCTCCTCCTGGTATAAATTCATCCTTCTGTATCTTCGCTGCTGTTGACAATACTAATACTAAAAACGATGACAGAAGGATAAACAACTCCTAGATTGACACGAGGTTGACCTGAGTTTACTCTTTCTCTGTAGGTAAACACGTCATCAACTTATTCGTACAATACACCCCCTATAAGCCATCAGATGGAAGCTGGTCAGATCCTGCTTACCGGGTACATTACAGAACTATCCATTGTCCAACTAAGTACTCATAGCCTTTTGTTTTGGTCAAATAATATAGCTTAGCGGTGGCTATCAGTATCCGGTTACCTGTTAACTGAACCAGTTATACTTGTTAAATGGCTAACTGTTAACTGGATCAGTAGCCACCTCGATAAAAGCAGCTTGAATTGTGGGGATTAAGCTGAGTTCCACTGATCTGAGAATACAATCTTTTCTCTGGTTTGAGCAGGAGTCTTTTGCACAAAGATGCTTCAGCTTGATCGACGAATTTGCACCTGGCTTCAGCTCATCAATAATCGGCTATGACATGTTGACACCACCTGATCTCGAAAGAGAAATCGGTCTGACAGGTAAAAACCATTAACCAACATCAGATTATCATTACGTGGGATCACACCTAACCAAGAAAATGTTTTTGTAACAGGGGGTAACATATTTCACGGAGCAATGGGGTTGGATTCTCTCTTCCTTATGCGACCGGTGAAAGGATGGTGAGTGAGGCCCTTCCCCTTTTTTGTGTTGTCATGCAAGTTGTTTAGATTCAGACTGTAGTCTTATAACTGTGGGGTGTTGTTACGTATAGGTCAAGCTACAGAACTCCTGTCCAGGGCTTGTACCTATGCGGCAGTGGAACCCACCCAGGCGGCGGCGTGATGGGGGCACCTGGACGCAACGCCGCCAACGTCGTTCTTCAGGACTTCAAGAGACGATGAAAGAAAAGGAATTCCTCCTTCCAAAAATGCCCTATCCAGTGTTGCATTTACAGTTCCAGAATCCAAGACTTCAACGGAAGAACTGTGGTTCTATATCTCCCCTCTTGAGTACAGTCGTGAGGATTCTCCTGTTGCTTCGAGTGGAAATTACTCTGGAATTTGAACATCGCCTCAATTTACGTACTATGAGTGAAGTCGTCCAAAGAACATAACGTATTTCGCACCTCGTGTAACATCACAATGCAGGCTAAGTACAGGGCCAGCTGTATAGGATAAGTTAACTCACTCATGAACATGTAAAACACAAACCAAAACCAAGCCATGGAATAGCAGTAAATTAACTAACGGGGATAACAAGCTCAACGGTTGAGGGCAGTCTAGATTTCAACATCTGAATGCACTCGACTGCAACTTCAGCTTGCACTCTCGGGGCTTTAAATATGCGCCCGGTACTAGTGCATGTGCGACTATCGAGAATCAATTTCTCAAGCGTCACAAAGTTCCGCAGCGCATAGTCCAGGAACCAACGCCCTGTATGGGTAGCTGCGTTACCAGCAAACCCACTAACCTCCACCACTTTGATGCTCTCCCTGTGCATCTCCTCCATCTCACTCCCACCCCAAATGCGGTAGGAGCTATCCTTTTCTTCGTCGGTGTCCATCTGCATTACATACAGTTTACCAGGTTTGACATTACATTTTCAACTTCTTGCAACATCATAACCAGCGCATTTGAAAATGTGTACTAGAAAAAAGAGTAAAACTGAAGAACCAAACTTATCAGAACAAGAGATAAACTAACAAGTTCAAAACTTCATAATTGATTGATGATGAATTGAGGTAAAATGAGATAGCATACCCGAACCGACAGTTGGTACAATGAAGGACAAGCATTTATCACGGGGAGCAGACCACGAATCTCGTTCCTATCGGAACCGAGCACATAAACAGTCAGCTGCTTAAGAGACGTCAACTCCTCAATCGACCTGGGAAACTTGGCTTTACGCTGCACCAATAGAAAGACTTCATTCAGATCACATCATAGTAATTATTTATAAGAGGGGGTTCAGTCATATTATGATGGTGATTATTAACTTACCGCGTCAAACATAAAAGTGAGGGTCTCCAGCCGTGCAAACTTTGCTCGAGGAAGGAAAACAGGACCTGGATCAATCATGTTGTACAAGTCCAATCCGGTAAGCGACGATATATTTTCCATTCGAAGATTAATGCCATCTGGAAACCGACCATCCAACTTGAAGTAGGTGAGATTAGGCGCATCGATTTCAATCTCCTTTAGATTCTTACAATGGGCTACTTCCAAGTGCTTCAACGGCAGTGGTGACGACAAGCCAGCAGCAACTTTAAACCTTACTAAACCATGGGAATGTTGGACGGCTAACTTCTCCAGTAGAGGACAATTGCAAAGGAAATGCTCAAGGATCTCATCGCTCACATCAACGAAAGCCAAACACAAGGACTGAAGGAACCGAATATCCGATAAACCCTCAGAGGTTTTCATATGTTTGAAACAGCGTTCCGAGAAAATATAGCACCCTGAAGCATCCCAACTTGCATCACCATACCGTTCAAAGTCCAGCTTGAGCTTCTGAACTCTTTTTGAGATTGCAAAGTCCAACCACCTATCGATGTCACCATTTGCATTGGATTCATTATGAATGTTGAAACAGACGTGAAAGTTGTTCACTTTCCGACCCTGGTAGTGTGTCAAGACCCTATTAACCCATTCAATGTACCTCCTCCTTCCGAAAAGCACGGGCTCCATATCCCCCGAATTCCAATAATTTTCCCAGATGCACTGCCTCACCTTTGGAACATCGAAGTCCAAGTTTGGAACAAATTTCCACAAATCAACCCAAGTCCCGGAGAGGATTGATGTCCTAGCTGCTTCTTTTAAGGTCAGGCGGGACAGAATCTCCACAAGAAGCGCATGGGGCAATGTGCTAATATGATCCATGGAAATAGCTTCCTCTTTAACCTATATGCACAGTAGAAATAGACAGCCAATGAGCACAGGAAACCTCAACAAAGCTTTTGCTTTACACAAGGAAACGGGACGGTAATTATCATGATGGAAAACAGAAGCAGCAGATCCATACCTTCTCCGAGCTACAAACGTTGTTGGGTGGATCAAATCTGTACATCAGGGCACGGTTTAATGGAGGCATCCTTGGACAAGAAACTGAGAACCACACCACGCAAGATGATATGAAAAGCTAGAAACTTTCAACAAGGATCGCTCCGATTTCCACCCACAAATTAAATCAACGGGTAAGAGACACAGAATCTTAGGCAAACAAGAGAAGGCATCAGTTTCCTTTACTACAAGGAAGAAGAAATAAACAAAACAGAAGGAATGAATGAATGAATGTCGGACACAATTCTGTTTGAACTTAAAACAGTCCCTCCAGAAGGAAGGAGCTGGAGACAGGGACTCCAGAGCCACAGTAAAGACAAGTGCTTTATCCTCCAAAAATGATGAAAGAAAGCAGTGAAATTTCTCAAGGAAGACTCGCAGAAAGACTTGCCTCTCGCTGACCCGAGCCGCTAAATCCTTCGATGGAGCAGATCCCACAGTCCCTCACTTAGATAAAATATAGGAACTCGTAGAGCGGTAGAGTTGAATGGTTACGGTTTGTGAATATGCTTTTTTCCATATCTTATCTGGAGAAGGATTTGCTCTCAGTACCGCCGCCGACCGCCTAACTCTGTGTTTTCAACTTTCCCTATCTTCTCTGCCATCCCCCTAGCTTTGGCATGTATGATACAAACCTGCTTCGGAGTTCATAGATTAGAAGGTCAACTGGCTGAATCGCAAAAATCAGAGTCAGGCTAACAAGTTAATTAAGAGGACGCCATTAACCCACATTTAAATGGACTAGACCATGGGCTATTTCATTACCCATCCACCAATTTTCACCCCACAATCTGACCCGACAGCTTCAATTTGTCTACTAATGGTAATTAGGGATGGCAATGGGTCGGGATGGGTCGGGGATTGTCAAATCCAAACTCAAATTCATGGGTTTATCCGTAAAACAATTCAGGATAAAACTCAATGGGTTAGGAAAACTCAAATCTAACTCAACCCGCTGGATATCCGTATGTTCATGGGTATCCGTGGATTTTTGTGGTAAAAAATTTACAATAACAAGTCTCAATCAAAATAAAAGTCAAACATCAATTTCTCCATACAAATTATCCATACATAAAACATCGGTCTAGAAAATTCAAACAAATCACAAATTATCCATACAAACGGTTAATTAGATTGGGGAAATTAGAATTAGGGTAGGGTTTGGAGAGAGTAGGCGACGGAATATGTGTGAGCGGGTATTCATGGGTCGGGTAACTCTAAACCCAAACCCAATCCAACCGAGTGAAAGTGTAACGGGTTTAAACCCGAACCGAAACCCATCAACACAGGTTTTACTCGCGTTGACCGGGTTGGGCCGAGGTAGGGTATCCGTGGGTTCGGGTTTTGTTGTCATCTCTAATGATAATGGTAGGGGTGAGCATTAGGTGCTCTACCCACAGATCCACCCAAAACCACCCGCAATCGACCCACCCATTATCATGTGGGTGGTTCATATGGGTGGATGTAGGTTGTGAAATAGGTGACCCAGAAAAGATTGACTGGGGCGGCTGGACTCTGGTTGAGATTACAAGTTTGAAATTGGGTTTTGTCCCTCTTCTTTCTACCGAGTGTTGTGTGTTGGGTAGGAGTTTATAAATTTGGATGGAGAAAAACCTAGCGGTTAATCAGCGGTGCACTCGTTACATATCAGTCAGTCACCGACAATCGACAATTGGCTACCAAATTAAAATAAGTAAATAACCCAATCGCGGCCGAAACTGCAACCATTTTTTTCGGTGTGCGATTACCTGACTAATCGTGGTTTTCGGTTTGGTTTTTTGGTTGGCCGACTAACTAATCACCGACTATCATCCCTAGTTAAGGGCTGGGAAACGGTGCGGTCTGGTCCAGACCAGACCATATATACGGTCTATGGTCCAGACCGAGAGGCTGAAGTGTAGACCACAAACCAGACCATAGACTATACGGTCCGGTCCAGACCACGCCTGTGCGGTCTGGTTCGGTCTGGTCCAGATAGACCACACTCAACGAAAAATGAATAATTTGTTTAGTCTACCACAAAAAGAATTGAACCAATACCAAGAGAAATAATTGTTATTTGCCTTAAAACATTAATCCTAACATGCATGAATAATTTTGATACCCTAAATCTTACTACATAACAAAGTTACAAATTAAAAGCATCCCAACTTGCACCATAACGTCATAAACATTAACATAATTCCATATGGAGACACAATTATCTCTACTCTCTGGTTAAATGTGGTTGTGAATGAAGGAGGGACGTGATTCACAAAACTAAGGCTGATACTTGGATGTCGTTGTGGGAGTTGGGAGAGTGGTCGAATGAGCTGTTGACACGTATTGACTAGTTGGTTGGGTCCACGGTTTGGTCCGGTAAACCGCAGTCTAGACCAGACCAGACCAAAAGATCAAAACATAAAATAATACAAACCGTGGACCAGACCAGACAATACTTAACGGTCTACGGTCCGGACCAAACTGTGCGGTACGGTTTGGACCATGATTTTTCTAACGGTCTGGTCTATTTTCCCAGCACTAAGTTAAGGTACCCGTCTCGTCTCATTGCTATCACTAAATTTAAGAGTATTAAAATATGTGCATGTTTTTTTTTTTTATCATAAAATATGTGCATGTTGGAATTTATGTTTAAAGAAAAAAATTAGATATTATCTCAGTTATTAATTTTATTTTTTGCGTGGATAACTAACAAGCTATTCATTTTTCACTCAATATGGTCTACATCTCCAGCATATCTAAAATCACGTTGGGCCGCCAATAATGCAGACTCCTAGGCTTAGCATCTTTTTGGGCCCAAACAGAACCTTGCTCGACCCCTCTATTTTATACCGCCCTTCAGGAAAGAAGACCTAGCAGCCTGCAGCAGGGAGCTGAAACCTATCAGTGAATTGAAGGGACAGATTCCCGATTTCCGACGGCGCATGGCCACCGCCGCGCCGCATCCACAGGACGACAGCGACGACGACGATATAGAACTAGACCCTATGAGAGTCCTTCTGCCTGCCGAAGAATCCGAAGAACGAGAAACCCCATCGGCGCCGCGAGATGGAGACTCCAATCTAGAAATCGAGCAGCATTACCTCCATTCGATCAAGTCAACCGTGAAAATCCGCCAGCTCCCATCGGAAGGCCTCTCCTTCAAGCTATGGCCCGCAGCCACCACTCTCGTCAACCTCCTCGACCGCCACGTAGTCGATCCCACAACCAGCCCGCTCTTGTCCACCCTCACCGCCGCCCGAGCAGGCCGCTGCCGCGGGAAGCTCAAAATCCTGGAGATTGGCTCGGGGACCGGCCTCGTCGGGATAGCTGCTGCGGCCGTGCTGGGCGCTGACGTCACGGTCACCGACCTCCCCCATGTGGCGCCTAACCTTCAATTCAACGCGGAGCTCAACGCCGACGTGGTGCGCTGCGGAGGAGGGGCGGTCGACGTGGCTCCGCTGAGTTGGGGAGAGGAGGATGACGTGGAAACCGTCGCGGGGCGGGGATTTGACCTGGTGGTAGCGTCCGACGTCGTTTACCATGATCATCTGTACGATCCACTGCTCAAAACGCTGCGTTGGTTGCTGCTGGGAGGAACAGAGCCGGCAGGGGATAGGAAGCCGGCGTTTGTGATGGCGCATTTGAGGAGGTGGAAGAAGGACTCCGCGTTCTTCAAGAGGGCCAGGAAGTCGTTTGATGTGGAAGCGATTTACGTGGACAGCCCGAGTGAAGGGCGCAGAATCGGCGTCACCGTATACCGTTTACGGCCAAGGGACTGAGAAATGAGAAACTGGCTTCTGCAAAGGCAGAAGATGTTTAACGGTTGGGTGGTTCATAAACATTATCACTGTGCTTCTGTTGTGTTGTTTGTTTGGTAAACCAAAGATCAGTCCTCAAAGGTGCCATATTTTGGCTGCTATTCAGTGTCATTTGCATTTTCATAAGGACGAAAAGGCTACAAACAAATCGTATATCAATTTACACTAGGCCATTTGTTTTAGTTTTGTCAATGGGAACTGCACTCGAAAGAACGTAAATCTCGATGAGAGAACAAACTCTGCAAAACATACAACACAGGGGAGCCATCGAGCAAGCCACCAAACTTCGAAATGGAAAACCAACAAGCTCCTGAATCCCGAGCTATGGCCAGCTGCAGGATATGGCTCCCCGACACCAGTTTCATGAAAATGGCAATGCACTCGCCAGTGCTGAGAATTTCCTAGCTGATGATGTATCAGCGGGTTTCTGGTGATGTAGTGAAATATCCGGTCTAAAAAAATGTCACCACTTTCGAAGAGTCGTTGTTGTGCTTTTCGTGACGGCCTTCATACTTTGTGAGTCTCTAAAACAAACGAAATGGACGAGTGTTTTCCCGTTGGGATAGACTGCAAACACACTTGTTCCGATCTTCTTGTGGCAAAGGGAGCACATGCTGTCGCCGCTGATCTTCACGACTGTTTTTCTATACTTGTACAGCTCGTCTTTCACCTAGTTCACCACATAATAGGCCATATTCAGCGGGACTTAATATATTAACCATTCTCAAGTGGTCATTCCGGGCTATAAAGATGGCATCAAGAGAAGTTATACGTAGGGTGTCATGTCATTGATACCTGCAGGTTCTCACTCTGTCTCAAACTCTTGATTACTGAAAGGTTCCGGTTCGCTTCACTGGATTTCCTCAGTAGAGGTCCAAGAAACGGCATCAGGTTCTGCATAGTACAAAACAAAATGAGTTCAACTACATGTCTCAGGCCTCTCGCGAAGTGGTTACCTAAGAAGATCAAGAAAATACAAAAGCAGAGGGCAGCTCTATGCTTTCAGCATACAAGAACGTTGCTACTTTCTGGTAAAATTGTTACCTGTAAGTTGGTTTGCCTCGGTAAAAGTCTGAGGGCTTGGGCACCATTTATTCGGTCCCACCTTTTGCTCAAGAGATCAAGCACCTCATCAAGCATTATAGTAGAACTGTCTTCCGGACTAATTTCGTCTGTATCGCCATCACTCCTGCTGCTGTCAGTGCCACTTGGACTCACACGCAAGTCATCTGCAACTTCTATTGCAGCAATTTTCTTAGCTCCACGACCACCTTTAGTCTTGGTTCCACTTGCAGAACTGACCTTAGGGATGCTGGTGCTCCGAGAAGCCACTATATTTGTGATTCGCTTCTCAAAGTTCTTGGTTGTCTTACTGGGATTAAGATAGATTTGTAGAAGTGTGAGGTATATACTGCCAGATTTTGTAGTTGAAGGTTGATGAGTTGCAGACTCATAAACGCGATCACAGTAGCACAATGCCAGATCAGGTAGATGAAGCTGATACAGGAAAAAGGTAACTTTAGTTGGCTCATGAACTGCAGATTAGAGATACGCATGAGTAAGTTTAGATGGTAAAACACTTGACAATTGATGAACTGATCAATCAACGCAAAGAGGGAAATGATTCCAATGAGTGCAAGGGGTTCTCTATAGCTTTCATGTGTAAGATTATCAGCCTTTTTGCATAAATACATTAGTACCTTATGAACATAGAGGGATAAGGCAAGCTCGTGTTGGTTCATCTTTCCTAATAAAACTGCACGTTCTTCATACAGTGCATCAGGAGGAAGACGCTTCAACAAAGCCTCAGGGTTATAACCTGAGATGCCTTCTAGAGCAGATAATAACTTCTTCCTTGTCGGGTAATGAGCCTTCTCGTCCCATTTATTTTGGTCACTTAATTCCGCATGCAAGTCAAGAACTTCCGAGAGATAGATTTGCACCTGTCATGAATGATAGAATGACATTGAGCGATATGATTCAAAATTCATTACGAGAATGCAATTTGTTTGGTCACATCCAGTAAGAATACACGAAGAAAAAATAATATCCACAGACTAAAAGCAAGGGCAAGTTACCATTTCATTTTGCAGGTTTCCTGATATAGCACTTTCATTCATTGCGAGCATCAGTTCTAGATACCTTCCTTGCATGTTTGGAGCATGCTGTTTCAGATAAGAGTTGACCATATCTGCAGGTATGTTCCCAGATAAAAACAGCTCAATTGTTTGTGTTGGACACCTGTCGAGAATGATCATTGAGAACTCTAGAACAAGCATAGGATCTTTTCCACAGAGAGGCTGCATAAGAAACCCCATAAAAAAGATTCTCAGATACTTTTAGCAAAGGAAGAGTACGAACTGCAACCAAGTCACCTTCACAGACATCAAGCCTCAACAGTTCTGCTCAGGCCTAGATTCTGAAAGTTTCTCAATAAATTAATGACCATAGGTGAAGGTGGCTAACAAGCAGCAGAGATTATGGAAGCCAACCCTAGCAATATATAACCCACCGTGGCATAAGTATAGTAATAGATTCAGATGATTAACCAACTCAAAGGAACCAAAGTTTTTTGGTACTTAAGCAAGTGCATATAAATAGAATTATAGAAAATGTATAATTTTTTTTTTTTTTTTTTTTTTTTTGTAAAGGAACTAATACAGAATTACAGACCTGGCATCATTACCTATGGCCATTGAGTTTCATGGTAGAGGAAAGAAAACCACAGGTTGCACAAAGGCCAACTATCCTTTCTAGATCCTGGAAGATGGTTGACCTAATGCTTTGGTCTTGCTAATTCTCATTCAATTTTCCTAGAAATATATATGAGCTAAATGAAAAAGAGGTACCAGAATAGAAACTAAAGATACCTTGAGATACTCTAGAATGTCCTCAGGCTTGAACTTATGTGTAACCTCAGATTTGCCTGAGCTTGACTCTTCAACTAATTGATGCAGAAGCTTTAGAGCTTCACGGTGCATGGCATTGCTTCTATAAAGCTCCAGCAAAGCAGAATAGTGATGTCTCTTTTGAAGACTCTCCTCACATATTTTTAAATCACAATAATTATGGCCTCTGAGTAATTCTACAGAAGCTGAAGACTGTCCAGTAAGCAGAAGTGCTTGGAGTAGTGCAGTGTCTAGAATAGCTGCCATTTCTCTAGCCCCTGAGTTAATCGCAACATTGCCACGCCCCTGAGAGATCATAAACAGTGTCAGATAATAGAAGAAACCAAGCGGAACAGAAGCATCACATGTAGTTACTTTTCTTTTCAAAAGTGAACTACCTAGAGTTACCATTCTTATCCTTCAAGAATATGCTTTTGTAGGCATTGTAGCTGCAAACTATGTGAATTAACAAGTTATTCGAAAGGATCAGCTTCTACCTTGCCAGACTTTTTGACCCTACTAGAGTCGTAATGTCCATAATTATCACCAACAGCGCCTAAAACAACCTCCTCTGTCCCCTCGGCAGTGGCCTTTTCAATTATGTTGTATCTCCGTTTCTGTAAGTATTTGATGAGAGCCATGAGAGTATTATGGCTCATTTTCTTGGACTCAAGTGCGGAATGCTCATCAAAATCCCCAAAATGTGATGCAGATGAGGGATCCATATCATCTGATGCACCAGAAGAACCTCTTGATAGATGTACAGCATCTGGGTCACTGTCCACTAGCTTGTCTGTTTCAGGAAGCAAAGTTGTTTTGGGAAGAACTATTGACGGATACATAGAAAGTACATAGGTGATATCTACTTGGGCAGCTAAAAAGTGTTCCATAGCCTCCTCATAACTCCCATTATCAAAAAGATGGTGAGCATATCTGTGGAAAGTGAAAAACCCTATCAGCAACTTGTTTAAAGAAAAATCATAATAGGAACCTTAAAAGAAAAATTACTTTTCACCAAAAAAGGAGAAAATAATAGAGTCTGGCTGCTATTACATGCCACACAGAAAATCATACATGTACAATGAAAACCCATTTGCTAGACCAAGCCTTGCGATTAGCGAGAAACACATCAATCATAGTAGTGAAACAAGAACTAAGTGATGCAAATAGTTCATCGGTCAATTTTGGTAAATATCTACCTTATGTGAATGGACCCCTCCTTTGCAGCTCGAAGGCTTGCATCTTCGGGAGGAAGTAACTTGCACAATGCCAGAGCTTCTTCAAAATTTCCAGATGCAGTTAATTGCACGATCTGCACCATAATCATAGGAATATTAAAAGAAGTACAATGTCAATGTGTCAAATCAAGTTTGTATGAGCACCAAAAGCAAAAACATAATCGAAATATGTCTAAGATGACCCAGGGCAGTCAACTTGATCTCAAAATTCAAGAATCTTTCTTTCCTCTAGACTGTATTCTTTGATACCCACCTACCAGTCATCACAAGAATTAACCTAGAAACTACCAGTCAAGAAAATTCTAACCCAAAAAACAAAGGGGTACAAGATGTACCTGTGCACCAACAGGAACAGGAAAGAGTCCGTGAACAGAATTATCTAGTGCAACAATTACTGCATTATTGCTCTGAACAAGACGACGAACATTCTGAAGAACGATGGTCTGAATCATCGGGTATGGAACTCGAAGAGACCGTATCTGCATTCATTTTACAAAACCTCGTCAGGAAGACCATCTCCAGACAAAGATAAAGAGGACAGGAACTTCTCATTCTCTATGCTGCTACCTCAACACGCCTTGGAAGCAGGGCAATCGCATACGGCTTCTGAACCACAACAACAGAGGGAGCTTCCGACCAACAAATCCTTTCAGCTTGATGAAGCTTGCCGTTTTGGTCCACGAAGACTCCAATATTCTCCTGTAGGAATTGCAAGTGATTGCTTTTTGCAGTCATTCACGGGTGAGAAGTAAATGGCAACAGTCCAGAAGAAAACAATTCGTCCAACAGTTGGAGGGCTGAAAGATGAGTGCTACCTTGCCAAGAAGAAGTTCTCCTGAAGGAAGAGGGACGACCAGAGGTGGAGCCAGTCTACCAGAAGGAAACACCTCGCTCAAGGCACCACTAGTGGCGTTCAGTATCACGTATTCCTTCTTAATCCCAAGACATATGTTTTCGCCACACCAGGACATTGACTTCACCGTGTCAGGGACGCCAAATTCTTTCACCTCCACGAATCCTCGTCCTGCTGAAGAACACCACCAAAGATTTCAGTTCCAGAAGACGCATCGGAATTTCAGCAGCAACTGTGGAATTCGAAACGAGAAACTCACCATCGTGGCGGATGATGCAGACTCGCTTTTGCCTCGCGAAGCACAGATAACCTCTCCGATCATCCCAGGAGTAGACATTGGCGCCTTTGGCTTTGGTGATCACAGCGAAAGTCTCCAAATTAGGGAGTCGGTGAAAAGCGATCGATTCAGAGAGCGAGAGGAGCAGCTCTCGCGAGGCCAATACCTCCATTGCCAACAGACTCTTCTTGGAATACCCGTTCACTGTCCTCTCCAGGGCGTATCCTTCCTTTCGTAGTTCTTGAGCTTGGCCGAGGTAATCCGAAGACGACGAAGATCGATCGGATTCGGCAGCGTAGACTCGAAGAGCGCCATCGGAGCAGCCGACGAAGAGCTTCGAAGCGTAGGACGCGACGGCATCGATTTTCGTCGGACAGCCTCTGAGGAGCTCGAAGGAATCATAGGCACTGTGCACCATATTTCCCCCCCGCCCTTTGGTCCCCGCCTGATCTTCCTTTCTCCGATCACAATTTCATTACACGCACCGCACCGAAAGCTAGGCGCTCGTCGGTAATGGGCCAACCCGGCTAGCTCAAATCGGCCCGAGATCCAAATGCCGGACGCAACAGTCCTACGGTTCTCAAACAAATGGGACCCGGCCGACGTGGCCAGACGTCGGCGAAATGATGAATCTAATTGATTGGACTTCCAAACCGGACCAAGTGAGTCACACCGGTTTTTTATATTATTGGACCCCTTTTAACAAGTAGTATGGTTCCTACAATAGTACAATGGTTTATGTCGATGTCGATTTAACAACATATGTAAAAATATGTAAAATCACAACACCCAAACGCTTATATTTGTATCCAACAAATATCATCAACATTTAATTTAATCAAACCACAAATTAATTCTTTTAATTACAGTCACTAGAACTATCTAATTTATATGTCAATGCAAAATTAATCATTCCAGTCATATCGGTGTACTCAAACCGATATGACATGACGACCGGCGTTTCATCCACGTGACAACCACGAACCGGACAGACGAAAGTGTGACATGTGTCGACCTTCAAATGGCCCCCGGAATCAGAAAAATCCAGGTCCGCCCCTGAAATTCGCCGACTGCGGCGGACAATGTGTCCGTGAACTCGAGTAGTTGAGTAAATAAAAAAAAAGGTTGAGAAGTAAAGGGAAGCGAAAAGGTCACCGGAGAACGAAAGAGACTGCGAGGACGAGGACGAGGACGAAAAAGAGTTGAAAGAAAGAGGAGATCAATGACTCTGGGTCTGATCAATGCTAACCCAATCGTCCACGCTAAGAAGGAAAGGGTCGCCCGATGCGAAGATCCCCACTGCGACGACGCCGTCGATCCACTCGATATCTATGATATCCTTTCTTTCTTTTCTTACCCCCGCAAATCGCTTCTCATTTCCTGATGTGGGTTTCCCTTTGATTGGATTGAGTCGTGCAATTTTCTGTCTGTTTCTTTCCTTTTTGTCATGAACTGATTCCGATTAGTGGGGAACTGAAATGGCGATCCTTGACTAAAAGTTGACAAATTTCGTGAGGGATATTAGAGATCCAGAGCACCCGTATTCACTGGAGCAGCTCAGTGTATTGTCGGAGGAATCCATTACAGTTGATGATAAGCTGGGTCGCATCCTGTGAGTCTTTCTGCCTGCTGCTTGAATCGAATAAGGAGGAAATGTTGATCCAAAATATGAAGAGTTTCTCATACTTAGAGATGAGTTGATTTGTTGTGCGATTTATTCATCTGGGTAGTTGATTCATACTTCTATGCTCTTGCCATGGATGTTCTCTAGTAGTGAGTGGATGTTGTGTCTTTGTTGTTGTTCAATAGGATTACATTCACCCCCACCATTCAGCATTGCAGCATGGCGACTGTAATTGGTCTATGCCTTAGAGTGAAGCTACAAGAATGTTTCCCTCCTCATTACAAGGTCAGTTCCAGGGATGTGCTGTTAGATACGGATATGCCAATCTCGCTTTGAGCTAGACCGTGATTCGCTCACCAGGTTTCAGAGGGATGCTTGCTAGAACTTGGCTAATTTGAATCTACAAGTTCACTTTGAGCTGAACCAATTCTTCTTCTCAAGTCAGATAAAAGCAGCTATGCCTTTGTTGTTACTTTTTTCTGCAGGTTGACATAAAAGTTTCCCCTGGATCTCATGCAGATGAAGAAGCAGGTAAAGTTTCCTCATCTAGGCTTGATTTGGAACCCGGCATTAGCATGACTGCTTTCAAGTAATGTTTCTCAATTCGTCCCCCGCTATCATGTCTCAGTTTAGATTCCCTTCATCAATCAAAATAAAATAAAAAAACACATAGCTTAGTCTCCTGTCAATCGTGGGGCTTGATATGTACACAGATGGGACGTTATTCTACTCAATCGTAACTGACATTGTTGCTTCAATAGTTTGATCTTTCCAAGCACGTATTTTGCAGTGAATAAGCAGCTAAATGACAAGGAAAGAGTTGCTGCTGCCTTAGAGAATCCTAATCTCCGCCAACTCGTCGATGAGTGTCTTTACTCAAATGAGCTGTGAGCCTGTGACCCTACAAATATTGATGGAACTTAAACTGCCTTCCAAAAGTTGTTGTACAGAGTAACTCCTGAGGCCTGAATGCTGATAAGTTGTAGTGTAGCATTAGCGTGTAACTACTGAAGATGAATGATGTTAAAAGTTGTGGCATAGTATAACTACCAAGCATGATTACTGCTAAGTTTTAGAACCGTGTTTTAACTACTGAATATGAATGCTGTTAAGTTGTGATGCAGTGCTTTTATCTTGCCTCTTCATTGATTAATGCTTACAGAACTGCCAATTCAAACGCTCAAAGAACGTATAATGAATAGAGTTTCTTGTACCATAAGCTACCTCCGTCACATAGACTATTTATGCTTTGGAATTGCTGTTCTTGTTGTCGTAGCATTCGAATCCTACATCTGACTTCCATTAGTTAGTTCACCTCGTTCTATTTCAATATGCAGTGGGCTGCTTGCCAGTTGCAAGTGCTTCTTGCTAAGCCTTTCTGGCTTGGAGCCAAAACTTCTTTTCCTTTCAGTTAGGCAAGATACCAATTGTATGCCTGAATTATGTCAAAGGGAAATTTCTGATTGAGATTTCAAATTTACCATTCTTACAATCGAAAGAGGCGAGTAAGAGAGAAACACATCAAGAAGGGAAAGAGCATAGAGTTGAGGAATATTTAGAGATAAACTGTCTTCTATCCGCACATAATAATAACTGTTAAACAAGAACATCAATTTGGACCGGTTATTCATCAACTCATCACTTCACTAATAATAAATTAGATCAGGACAGCTCCCTTTCAGTTGCTTTAAAATCCGCCATTTTGGATTTCTCATGGGTAGGTAAGACTTGGTATTTGGTGATAGGTAGAGTTATGGCTTCTAGCTGGCTGCTGGGGCCAGAGGCAATGGCTCCGGAGCGACCTGGTTCACAGCAAGACTGCTGGAAATTGGGATCGGCTTCTCATCCGATCCCCAGAATTTTGCAGTTCTTACATCATCTTGAACCATCATATGGGAGAACTCGGCGTGATCGTACTGCAGTGTGGCCTTCCCGCCAAACTCTTTAGGAAGGTTGTCGGCGTCGAAGAGGGAGCTCATGAGCTCCACGCTCTCTTTCTTGTTCGGGTACACAAACTTCACCTTCTGTGAAGTTTTTGGATCCAAGAAGTATTTCACAGCCTAGTAGACAACAACATAGCATGTAGGGAAAATAAAGATCAATTCACTATATGACCAACCACACAATTAACAGACTAAGAAGGAGAGCAGACCTTCCAGAATGCTTCGAAAATTCTTGGCGGGCTGTACAGAAATGCAAGGGCGAGCCTCTCCGGGTAGTGATTCTGCAAAATGTTGATGATTTCACGAGCAGTTCTCATGGAGACGTTGGTGTTCAAGGAGAATCCCGATAAGTCTATCAACCATGACATTTGATCTTGGCCTTCAGGAAGGTTGAGAATGCTGTTCTCGATGAGATACACCAAATGCCGGATATTGTCCTCTGCACAGTTGGTGTTCTGCAATGGGAGAAGGAAAGAATATAACTTTAGCAACGATCTCGTTTGGTTTTGGTAGGTGTAATTGGGAGATTACACATTGTAACCCTGGCATTAACCTGCATCCCTGGCCTCATAATCAGTACTGTCCTCCCAGCACGGTCACGAAAATTGGCTCGAAACACCTTGCCTGTCTCCCCTTCATGTGCTATTTCATGCTGTGCAGCAACAGAGTAGTTCCAGTGAGCAACCACCCAAATTCCATAGCTTGTAATCCAACAACAAGAAACAAAAGAAGGCGATGCATTATTGCAATCAAATACCCAGCGGGTTTGTTCAGGCTTATATGTGGCTCTCCACTTGAGAGTCTCTTCAAGCATTTTAGTAGCCTTGTCAACATTCCAGTTCCTAGCTTCCAGGTATCTCCGCAGGCATCCATCAGTACAGTACTTTGCTTTCCTACCTGACAAAGGCCCTAAAGCAGCCCTTAGCTCATTTACCTACGAAGAGCGAAAAATGGGATCATTAAACCAAAACGAACCGTCAATAATTTTACCATAGTATATCAACTGATAGGATCGTAACAACTGTTTATTGTCATTCAGATCGATACGATCACAATATTATAACAAATTCATGTCAGCCCGATTTAGGCCTTGGTCAAATTGTCAAAATCCAATCAAACCCATTTTCAGGTTTTTCCCCAAACGAACAAACAGGAAAAGGCGTGAGGGATGGATGAGAGAGGGTATTTTACTACTTACCTTAGCATCTCTCTGTGCAAGGTCAATCTCCTGACCATTCTGTTGCTTCCTTCGGAACATGATGGCGGGCGGGCCTCCCACACAAAGTGGATCTTTCTAGAAAGGTCAACAAACAAGCGCCATTCAAACTTTTTCAGGGCCATTATGATCCTGCAGCTTCGCATTTCTATTTTCTTTTTTTAGTGAAAAAAAAAAATGAAAATAATTACTCCTGCAAAAAATGCAGGAATCGTGTCCGATACTGACCACGTGATCCAGCGTCGTAAGGAAATAAACAAACAGCTCGGCTCAATCACGTGGATTGACGCTTCATTTTTTTTTTCTTCCTTCTGAAAGCAGGGGAGAAGAACAGGAAAGAGAGAAGAAAAAGTCTACGCAAGTGTGTTTGTGATCTATCCAACTCTCCCTGATTTCACAAGTGACATGTTCCCACAGTCTGATCGACGATTCCGATTTTCCGAGAAACCAAACGGAAACATCAGGAAAATGATCAGGCCAGCAGCCAGGCAATTTGGGAGAGGAATCCAAAACACGCCGGTAAAAAAAAAAACGAATTAAGCCAAGAGAAAAATGAAATTCGTTACGCGATCACTGAGCTACACACGGCTTCAAAACTAATCGAATCCAGATCTAAACAACAGGCAGGCCAGGTGGATTGATCATCACTGAGTCAACCAAAAAGAATTCACTCGCGGATCGAATTAATTACACCTGATTTCATAATTTTCACAAGCAAACGCGACCATGCAAATCCACGGAAAGAAATCGAGAGGATCGTCGGACGAACCTTTCAACGGTAGAGTAGATGAGCAGCTGTGATCGCTTCCTGGAGCACCGCTCGGGGAGGCGCTGTCTCAGTTTGACCGGCCAGATGGAGAGGCGGAGGTCGTTTTTTTTTTCCGGTGGATTTTCCTGGGCGGGAAATGTGCGGCGATCGATCGATAAATGGAAGAGGATATGAAAAAAAGGCGAGAGAGTGAAAGAAGAGGAAAAATGAAAAAATGAGATTGGGGTGGGGAGGTGTGAGAGAGAGAGAGAGAGAGAGAGAGAGAGGGGTTATATAAATGGCGGAGTTCGTAAGCTGTTTGGTGATCAAGAAAATGTAAGCGAAGTGGCGGCCTCAGAGACTCTCTCTGATCGGTGGCAGGCAGAGAGTGGAATTCATATTTGGAAATATTTTATTTGGTAAATAATAACAGAAGATAAAATTTAACAATTCAATTCCGAACTAATTAAGGGGTTGGGATCCACGGAATCCGGTGTCGTTTTCTTTGGTGGATGAAAGTGACACGGCCGGAAATGTTGAGTTGGTCTTGGTGAGTGAGTGTGTGGCCATTTCTGACCGGGACCGTTTTTTTGCCTTTTGTTGCTGAGGAATGAGGAGGTCGCTGGAAGCTAGCAGGAAATCAGGAACCCTTTTTTATATTTTCTTCACGAAAGCGAATTAAGAAGACAATCTTGATAGGAGAGTTTCATCAAATTGGTGTAATACATTTTTTTGTCCATTACTAAGGAATAAATGACAGTGAATGATATGTATTTGATTACACACGCACCATAAGGTTAATTTTAAATACAAATTAATCATCTTGATTTAAATAGGTCCACCGGTTCAATATTTTAATAAAAAAAAAGAAAAGAAAAAAAATACTTAAATCATAAACTAAGACCACCCAACCTAAATTACTAATTTTATTCATGTTTTTCTTTTTGTTTCCTAGCCTCTCGATTTTACGTGGTTCATTATCGATTGTCATCCTAATTATTAACGTGAATTCAAAAATCTTTTTGATGATTTATTTTGGGAGATAGTTTGATTGATTATTTAAATTTTTTGGTTATGGATGATATGAATTCGAAATTATTTATAGTTATCGATAATTATTTCAATCATTAAATTATTGCACTATATATGTTTTTTACGCTAAAACACATAAATGATTTTATTAACGATCTTTTAACTTTTAGTCAATCATAAACCACTAATTTTCCCGTTAACTATGTGATCTAGTTATGAAAATAAGATAGAGGTGTTTTTCTAAGCTGTCATGCATAATCGAAGATCAACGAGAGAAATCATTACTCACAATTTATCTTTGTGTCATATCATCATATGTCCCTAGAGGGACTTGACGCACAATTTATAAACCATATTTAGTAAGATAAGGTACGCGTATGGTATGCATAAAATTCATACAAATATTTTAATTCATCTATAAACTTATGTTACGTATGATAATGAGTCAATAGTGATAAGACATTAAAATTAATTATTTTAAATATAAATTCATGTATAAATAGTTTTCAAATTTCCAATTTATTTAATTAAATATGAGTATTAAACATGTTGTTTGAATTTTATATGGGATTAATACATGAGTCAAATGAACAAGGAAAAAATCAATTTGTTTAATAATAGTATGAAAACGAAAGTCTGAAACGCATACAATTGGAGCTTTTACTAACTATGATATAAAGTCATCATTGACCATGTGAAAAATCTTACTCGAACCTATATGGAAATCCTTATTGACGAGGGGAGGTACAAAATCATTATTACTAGCAATTATAGGAACATACAAAGTCATAATTGTTAACAACTATGAAATTAAATTATTACTATCACCATGTACGTCCGTTTGTAATTTTGTATTAAGGGGTCGTTTGGATGTGGAAATGTAATGGAGTAATTGGACCCAATTACCGCATAATGCAGTAATTGGGTTAAAAACCCACGTTTGGGAGAGCAAAAATGGTATGAAAATTGGACCATAGAAATTGGCTTCAATTACCACATTCATGGTAATTGAGAATACTACACCTCCCCCTAGTAATTTGACATTACCATATTTTCTTACTTCTTTTTCCAAATTCCACACCATCAATTCCCACAAAACTAAACCCTATCCAAACGTGATTTTTTTTTCAATTTCCACAAGTCAATTCCTTGATTTTGTAAAACATGGAAATTCAGACAAATTTCAACTTTTTAAAATTTCCAGATACTGTTAACAAATCTCCAGAGGGAGTGTTTCTCATAGCTTCAATAGCATTTTGCTTCGTGTTTCATGCAATTACATGTTGACTACTATTTTTTTTCCCATATATCATGCAATGACTACTATCGAATTTTTTTATATATGCCCAAGAAATAAATGCAGCAAATTTATAATCTAAATGAGCCGATATAAATGAGTAAGCTTGGTCTAGTTATCATTACAGTTGTAAAACTTATACATATAAATACAGCTGTGAAACTTATACGGATCGCTCAAAATTCACTTGGGATGACCAACTATTTGGTACATAAACGACCAAGTGTTTACATTGAATTATCGTTCCATTTAATTTAGTATGATTTTTAGCTTACATTTTTCAATTTTTAACTGTATTAGTTAGCTTGACAATGAAGAAGTTCCTCATCCTAGAGGTCTAAAATTCGAAACTAGCAATTTATAAATGTCAACAAAGAAATAATGCAACGCATTAATAATCTAAATGAGCTGATATAATTGAGTAAGCTTGGTGTAGTTATTATATGATTTATATATCTTTTTTCCCCCAAATGATTTATAGCTATATATACTAAATCAATATCATTACCGACACATAAGGAAAAGAAGAAAGAAAATCAATACGAGACCGGGCCATGCAACCCATCTCTAGAATCAACTATGGGCCTTTTCTATTGATCCCTGAAAGCACAAAAATCCATCAGTTGTTAGCAGCATTTATTTTAAATTATACGTAAAGGCTGTGATATGGAACTAAAGCAATCAAGTCGTTGATGTCATGATGTGGACCCTTCGTATTCAATGAACTTCGAGTTCCAGTTTTCTTTGGACTTTTCATTGAATTGCATTTATGTGGGCTTGGCCCATTGGGGACAAAAGAAGGTAACTGGGCCAGTGTGAGCTGCCAAATCATTGTCACCAGCTGGTCCACGGCCTGCACAGATGATTTCGTTTATTTCTAATTTTCTATGCAATGCCATTGGCTCGATATTTCATAAGCTGGCGTTAGAAGATCAAGATTCAAAGCAAATTAGTAACGTGCAAAACACTGTTGGAACAAGATAAAAGATAATCGATTCAACAGTTAAATCCTGGAATACCGCCAGGTCTGGAAATCAAAAGAACGACAAGTAGGCGGATACAAAAAAAGGGCCTTTCTAGCCACCACATGGACTACCCTATTGCTATTCCGACCTACAAATCGTATACTCAACCCGTCCCCGAGTGAGAAGCAAAACAATGCACAACCTCCTCCAGAACACCCCCGCACCGACTATCTCTGGTATCAGCCCGATGTATCTTCTCGATGATGACCTTGACATCCCCCTCAAACCGGACGTTCTGAAGACCATGATTTATACACCAATAGAGCGCCTATTGAAGGGAGAGCAATTCAACGACCATTGGATCCTCGATGTCCCTAAACTGCGCCCCATGGGCCAGAAGGACCTCTCTCTGAGGGCTGTGAAGAACCATTCCCCCGCCCGAATGTGAACCAGCTCGCTTAGCCCCATCCCACGAACAAATAAAGCTTGAACCAGCGTTCGGACTCAATGGATGAAAGGTGGGCAAGGGATACGGAACTACAGGATCCACCGACAAATCACCACATTCCTCACACTGTTGTTGAATTTGACGCATCAAGGCCAGGAAGCCAAGCTGTTTGCCGTCAAAGACAACCCAGTTCCTGGATCCCCCTCAAACTATCAAACTTACTAAAAGAAATTCCTCTGTACATCAACTTACATGGAAGATTCTGGAATTATTATAAAGTTCAATTGATTCAACATACGCGATTTTCTAGCTATTACAGGCAGAAGGAGAGAGATTTTATTAAAATCGTTGCCAACATACGCGATTTAGCTTTAAAATCGTTGGAGTCTCTTACGATTGTACGTAGAAAATTCAGAGACTATAACTTTGTACTCAGTTAACCGATCGACGCAACTTTTTTTCAGAAGAATGAGTTTTCATGTATATAAGACGCAAATCGCTGGAGCCTCCAATGATTTTCTAGCTAAATTGCTGATGGCTTCAACAGCATTGGCGGATCCAGGGGGTGGCCACCCCGGGCCCCGGCCCAGCCCTCTTCTGGATCCGGAGTTAGAATAATCCTTATAAATTTGTCGATTTTAGTCATTAGGCCCAGTGTTATTTTATAATATGAATGTGTATAATTAGAAAAATGATTCAGATGAACATATTCAATTCACTACTCTAAATTTATCCTAGAAATTCTAGCCCCAAAGGTTTTTCGTCTAAAAAAACAATGAAAACTAAAAATCCTAAAGTCTAAAGCGTAAAAGACTAAAAGAAATATGATGTTTGTTCCCTTAAAATTTTACTAGAGCAGTATGGTGGATATAGGCATGGACACACAATGCAAATTGATTAGTCAATTGATTTGTCTAGTGTTGATGCTTCTCGTTTCAACAGCTACCACAGAGAGAACCTTTTCAACAATGAAACATGTGAAAACTGATTTGCGCAACAAAATGAGCAATGAATTTCTCGTTGATTGCTCAAGTATTTTATTTGAAACATAGTTGGTATGGATGTAGATTTCATTATTGATGCATTCGCTAAATTAAAAGACCGCCGTGTACAATTGACATTGTAAAAAAAACTATAATCATAATATTTTTTTTTACGATATCGAATTTTATAATGAAATGCGGCCCAGTGCTCTACTATGTTCTGGATCCGCCGCTGTTCAACCGTTTCGGTAAATCATGTCTGTTGGCAGCGATTTGGATAAAATCACCTCGATCACCAACGAGCAACGACCAAAATTGCTGGAAACTACAATGATCCAACTCAAACTTCTATATTTTGAGAAATTTTAGTGTATGCGTTGTACTGCAAAATCTTTTTTTAGCAAGTTTGGTATTTTGGAAGGAAAGAAAAAAAAAAAAATGCAACGGGACACCTCGTTACCATTGTTACGGCTATTAACAACGCACATTGTGAGCAAATGGACTGCGACCGAGAATAGCGATCTTCAATGGTACATAGCCTGCAGCTTAATTTTATATTATTAT